GTATTAAACATGGATGTTGGCGAGGGCGGGGGCCCAAAACCCCCGGCCCCAAAAAAACATAAACTTAAAGACTTGGACGATGGCGGCGGGGGTAAGGAAAGTGATTTTTTACCCTATCTAAAACCCGGATACAAAAGACTTTATCCAGAAAATTCTTCAAATTTGGAGTTCAAAGTTTACGTGCAGGGTGAAAAAATTGGCAATAAAAGTCCAACCTTTTTAAATCATATATTTGTAAATGAGGTAAAAGGTGTAGTAGCGATTCGTAGAATCAATGCTAACAAGATTGCGGTGGTGTTCAAGCAGTATAATACTGCTAATAATTTTATAAGTAACTCTTCATTTCTGGAGAAGTACAACTTTAAGGCGTTCATACCAGCGGCAGACATAGAAAGAACAGGAATTATCCGATACGTACCCACAAACTTATCTAACAAGGAGCTTTACTCAAAGCTAGAGTCGGAGTATGAAATAATTGCAGTCCGACGATTCACTAAAAAGGTTGGACAAGAACGGGTACCACTTCATACAGTGAGCATTACCTTTCTGTCCAGTTCTTTACCACAAAATGTACAATATGACTTATTCTCTTACCGCATTTTTGACTATATCCCTCCTCTACAACAATGTTACCGTTGCTTCAAATTTAACCACTCAGCCAAAATATGTAATGGCAAACAAAAATGTAGCATTTGTGCTGGGGACCACTCATATAGAGAGTGTGATAACCCCTCAGCAATCTGCTGTGCTAATTGCGGTGGACCACATTTAGCAATTTCAAAGGCATGCGAAATCAAGTTAAAAAAGATAATGGAAAAAAAGGAACGTATTACTTACGCTAGTAAGGCTGAAACTAAACTTAATGTGACTCAGGGAGATTTCCCACCATTGCGCAAACCAAGACCTCAGGTCAATGTAAATAAAAATTCTGTTGTAAATAAAAATGTAAATTCTGCACCTATAAATAATGTACCTGTAAATACTGAACCTAAAATAATTTCTGTTGCTGATGTCAAGGCTCAACTCCTGGCAAATAATGACTTACCTAAGGCCATTGTTCGCACACTCATTGTAATCGCCAATAAGGGCAAGGATGATCCTCCAATCAATACAACAACTATTAAAGATATTCTACTGGAGAATCTTACATAATGGATATAGACTCCAATATACAATCTCAGCTATGCATTGCTCAGTTTAATATACAAAGTGTATACAGTAAAAAGCCCTTACTCTTAAAGTTTCTTAATGATAAAAATATTGATATTTGCCTTTTAAATGAAACGTGGATTAAAGATAACAAACCTTTCCACATTCCTGAATATAATATACATTTCAAAAATGCAGCTAATGAACATGGGGGAATAGCTATCCTCATAAAACATAATTTAAAGTATACAACTTTACAAACCACATTTTATGAAGATGTACAAACTGTTGCAATTTCTCTTTCTACAGAGTTAGGTGACTTATCTATTTTGACTGTGTATTGTCCACCACACAGTGGCCATACTAGATTAAACAAATTGAGAAATATCATAAAAGAACTGCCCAAGCCAGTGTTCATTTCAGGAGACTTTAATGCTCATCATATTGCTTTTGGCTGTGTAAGCACCAAGGGCAGAGGGCAGCAACTATATGATATAATTGATGAGTTGGATCTATGCTTGTTGAATGATGGCAGTTTCACAACAAATAATCGGCCTAATTGTAACCCATCAGCTATTGATATCACTTTTACAAGTGCAGTTTTAGCACCACTGTGTGATTGGACTGTACATGATGACAGTATGGGTAGTTATCATTTCCCTACAATTACAAATCTTACTTTAGCTGTTAATAAATATCAAACAAATCCTCCAATAGAGAAATTTTTATACAAAAAAGCAGATTGGGTGAAGTACTGTGAAATATCTGAAACTTTATTTAATGATATCAATGTGGATACTGAGAACCCTTTGAAGTCATATAATACCTTCTGTAATAGACTTAGCTCTTTGAAGTTACTTTGCATCCCAAAGTATACCAAGACTAGTTCATATAGAAGTAGGCCACCAGCGCCATGGTGGAATGAGAAGTGCGAACAAAGCGTCATTAAGTCTTATCAAGCTTTAAAATACTATAGAAGTAATCCTACAATGGATAACTACATTATATATAAGAAGTTAGACGCCTTGAAAAAGAGAACCATATCTGAAGAAAAGAAAAATGGTTGGCGCAATCTCTGTGAGTCTTTTAATAGAAATACTCCTATCAGTAAGATTTGGAACTATATTAAAATGTTTAAGGGTAGGAAAACTCATAATAAATCACTTTCTGATGAATTTGTTTTGCCATTCTTAGATAAACTATCAGATAATGGATCTGATGGTATAGTTGATGTTGATATGTATTTTAATATTAATAATGATAATAATGAGACACAGTTTTTAATTGAACCTTTTACATGGCACGAGTTTAATATGAGTCTTCATTCCCGAAAAAATTCTGCGCCTGGATTGGACAACTTTCCTTATATTTTGATAAAGCATTTACATATATTGGTGCAAAAATTGTTTCTGAACATTCTTAATGCACTTTGGCTCCATCAAGTAATTCCACTGTCTTGGAAAACACAATGTGTGATACCAGTGCTTAAACCAGATAAACCAGTCAATGATGCTAACTCATATCGACCTATTTCATTATCATCCTGTCTTGGAAAAATTTTTGAGAACATGGTTAAGATTCGTCTTGATTGGTATGTGGAATCGAAGTGCATTATCCCAACTATTCAATTTGGCTTCAGAAGAGGCAGAAGTTGTGCAGACAGCTTTGTTTCTCTTATCTCAGATCTGAAAAGAGCAAGAAATAATAATGCTAGTGCAGTATGTACCTTTTTAGATGTACAGGGGGCATTTGATAATGTGCAACCTGGTATTTTGATTAAAATTCTGTCTGATTTAGGTATTCCAGGAAAATTTTGTAAATGGATATACTCTTTCTTAAATGAAAGAATACTATATGTAAAACACAATAATATTTTACATGGTCCTAGGCAAGTGTCAAAAGGAACAATGCAAGGGGCAACTTTGTCCCCATTGTTATATAATATATATACATCTCAAATTTGTAAATATGTAAATATGGATAATGTAAATATTTTGCAGTTTGCTGATGACCTTGTTGTATATAGTGTACATAATGATATTGATTTGGCAATTGCTAATATTAATAATGCTCTTAGTCAATTATATCACTACTACAACAATAAACTTCGATTAAATATCAATCCCAACAAAAGTAATGTAATGTTTATAACAAAAGATTTACCTAGCTTGTCTGTGTTATACAATGATAAAGCAATTCCTATAGTAAGCAGTCATAAATTTTTAGGTGTGCAAATTGATAATAAACTGACATTCCAAGGTCATATCAAGTACATTTTACAAAATTCTTTGAAAGGCTTAAATATCATGAGGTGTTTGGCAGGAGTCTCCTGGGGAGCTGACCCAGTTACTCTTGCTATTTTGTACAAAGCCATTGTAAGAAGCCATTTTGATTACAGTTGTCTAGCCTATATTGATTGTAATTATGTACATAGATTAGATATAGCACAAAACAAAGGTCTGAGGATAATATCTGGCGCCATGTGCTCAACTCCCATCCGTGCCATGGAAGTTGAGACAGGGGTGATGCCCCTTAGTATAAGAAGATATCTACTTGCTCAAAGATTTTCTGTAAAGCTATTTGCAGCTAATAATAATGAAGTTTTAAGAAGAATTTTACCTCAGTATCCAGTAGTTCACAATGTGTCTGGTGTGACTGGGGCTGGCCTTCACTGTCATATTATCCCAGATTTATCTCAGGTTATCCTGGAAGCACATTTTAAATTTTCGAATATAATTAAAAGTTCTCATTGGGCATGTTACTCCACAAAGTACAAGATATTTTTATTTGAAGTCTCAATTATAAATACAGTAGTTAGTAATAATGAGGAGTTATTAAACTTTATTCACCTTAACAGTCACTATTATAGACTTTATACCGATGGCAGTAAGGGTTTGTCTCATGTTCGCAGTGCTGTTTATGATCCTCAAATTCAGTTTTGTCAAAGCTTTGAGCTTAGTCTTTTATGTAGCATATTCACTGCAGAGGCTTATGCAGTTCTTGAGGCCCTGAAAAAAATTTCATCAATGCATTACACAACCTATTTAATTTTGACCGACTCTTTAAGTGTGATTAAAGCATTAGAGAATATTAATTTTCATTTCAAAACAAATTATCTTTTAATTAAGATTCGAGAAGTTTTATTTAATTTAAAAAATAAAGGCATTTCAGTTTCTTTTATGTGGATCCCTTCACATAAAGGTATTACTGGCAATGAAATCGCTGATAGAGCTGCATTTGATGGGATAAATTGTATAAACGTATCTAATATTGTAAAGGTACCTTTTACGGACTGCTATGCACTGATTAGAGAAAACATAAAACATGTATGGAAAGACTTCTGGAAGAAAGACCAAGAAGAAAAAGGAAAGTGGTACGGTACTATTCAATCGGACTTACCTGTGAGACCGTGGTATGACCAAAAGCAATACAAGTACGCCAGACGAGATTTTATATCTACTATATGCAGGCTTCGATTCGGACATCATAGAACACCCGCACACCTTGCAAGACTCAAACTTGATGCAAATGACAAGTGCTTGAATTGTAACGTCTTATGTGACATTAGTCACATAGTGTTGGTATGCAGTGACTACAACATGCAAAGGTTGATTTTAGCCAGTGAACTAAGTGAAATTGTAGATAATGTTTCCTCCCGCCGCCTAGAAGATCTACTACGTGATCCAAAGTGTTTAGTGCCGTTATACAATTTCATTAAAAATACTCTGGAAAGTATATAATAACATAAAACCGAGTAAATTAAAAGACTTGGCTTAAAGGACTCGTATCCAGGCCATAAACTCCAAAAAAAAAAAAAAAAAGAACTTTTTTGACACAAGCTGTCATATTTGATTATGTCAAATTTAATTTTTCCTTAAAGTCTGACGGTGACGGTTAAAAGTTGGAATTGTATCATCACATTTTCACTAAACATCTTCTTAAAACTTTAAGGCAAATTAAACAATTTTGAACGTGGTACAGAAATGGAGGTTACCGATGAAAACCTGGCTACGTTAGCAAATTACCTTCAACAGACTTTAAGCCCGGACACCAACGTTCGGCGACCGGGTATGTATATTTTCTTTGTTTTTGCGTACAATCCATTGCTCTGATAAGAATTTTTCTATAATTTAGTGTTATACTTTGAAGTAACAATTCTATGAACATACTTAGAATGCTAAAAAACATTGGTTTACAAAATAGCAATTATAACCTTAAACAGTTGCATTAGTATTGTTATTTGAGCTGAATGACTCTGAACAGTCATATATTCCTGCTGTCGCATCGGGACTTGTTCAGTCAACTCAAAATATCTACGAGTTTGCTTCGTATTTCTTCTTAAATTACTCAAGTAGAACATTGTCACGTCAAACTGTAGTCTTTATTTGAAGAAATAAATATCATTCCATATTTAAAGAAAACTATGTAAATATTCACTTCTGTGACAACACTGTTAATGTTAGCAGTGAATAAAATAACATAGATTATAAAACATGTAATTAAAATAAGAAATGCTTTCAATAAGTAAACAAATTGTTGATTGCTATTGTTAAAACTATGAATCTTATAAGCACTCTTGCCATAAAAGTTTAATGTCAATGTAATGATCCCAAATCTAACCTTATTATTATATTAAATTAATACAATTTAATTCTATTGTCTTTGTTTCTGAGTTGTTATAACTGTGATTTTGATTATAATTTTCAGCTGAAAAATTCCTTGAAAGTGTTGAGGTGAATCAGAATTATGCCATTCTGGTGTTACATCTCATTGACAAAGAGTCAGTAGATCTTACAATACGGGTAGCTGCTGCGATCGCCTTCAAGAATTTCATAAAACGGAACTGGCCTATTGTATGTATTAGACTTATATATATTATAAATGTATAAGATGACCGGTAATTAGTGACTGATATTTAGACATGTGATAACTCATGATAACAAAAAACTTTCTCAAAAAACCTTTTTTCTATACTCATTTGTTTTATTGCTACTTATAATAAAGATTCACTGATTACCAGTCACCCTATATAATATTATAACAAGGATGGCAAATTTGACACAGTGGCTAGCTCACTGGTTGGTGTAAAATTTAGATGACCTTATATGATTTTAAATGCAAGTGTGGGTAAATAGTTTCTAAAAAAGGAGACTACCGCTCTCCCACACTAGAATTTCTTTTTCCGGTGTAGTGAGTGCATTTACAAACATAACGAATTTGTAGATCAAGGAAAGTGTGATTTCAAGTGGGAATCGAACAAGTGACACCTTGTACAGTAGCTAGTTGCCTGGCAGTGCCCACTGTGCCTTCATGCTTGAAATGATATTACGATACTTTTCCACTTTAAAACTGTAAATCAGAATAAAAATTTGTGATGAAATAGATTGGTTATTTTTGTATTTGAAATTTAAGAAAGACAATACATTAACAGGGTCTTCCTTGTCTCAGGGATTTTCACACTTCCAATCTTCTTTTACTAGTGACCCATCTCAGCTTCTCATGGGTGCAATGCTACAACTAAATTTCTCTAATAATTAATGGATTTCATAATACAAATAGACCTTCCTCTTCAATCACTCTCTCTTTCTTAGAATGACTGCTTCAAAAACTGTTGCATAGTTTTAAAGATTTAAGCATACATAGGGTTTAAAGAACGCCTCTTTGTTTTATACTAAGTGGTGATGACAATTATATGTGCTTTTTTCTTCTAGGATGAAGATGGAGTGAATAGGATTCATGCTTCTGACAGGAATACTATTAAAACATTGATTGTTTCACTAATGCTGAAGTCCCCGGAAGCCATTCAAAGGCAGTTCAGTGATGCTGTGTCTATTATTGGTAAAAGTGACTTCCCTGAAAACTGGCCTAGTCTCATCCCCGAGATGGTTGAAAAGTTTAATACTGGTAAGTGTTTAAAATTTATTTTTTGTTTAAAAAAAAACAAAACATTGCCCTACTTGAGGATTTTCTTCTGTAATGTGGGTGTGTTTACAAACATACAATGTCACATACATGACACCCAGACCCGAAACAACAAGTTGTGGATCACACAAAGTGTTGTTCCGTGCGGAAATCGAACCCGCGACACGTTGCACGGTAGCCAGTTGCCCAGCCAAGTTGTAAGTGAAAAGACAATTTTTTGGTTGGAAGATCCATTTACATATAACATTATATTTTTTTTATTGTTACATGAAACAAGGGTGTAGGATTTTTATGTAAAGAAATAATACATAGTTTGTACTCGAGAAAGGATGTAGGATAGTTTTTAAACCAAAAATCTGCAGGTAGTCTGCTATTCCACGCGAACAAAGTCGCGGGCAAAAGCTAGTATTAAATAACTTAATGTTTTAATACTTATTCACAAACAATTCATAAGTTCTAGAGGAGGATTCGAAACCTGGCAAGTACCAATGTGACTTTTAAAAGTTATATGTACTTTCTGTGATTATTTAGACACCGCTGATATACGGTGAAGGAAAACATCGTGAGGAAACCTGGACTTATAATTTCTAATTATAAGTTTGAAATCGCCAATCCACCTTGAGCAAGTGTAGTGATTAATGCTCAAACCTTCTTCGTGTGAGAGAGAGGCCTTGGCTCAGCAATGGGCACTCAATGGCTGATGATACGATGTGTGATGTGTATGTTTTTTATTTCAGGTGACTTCCATGTTATAAACGGAGTTTTGAGGACTGCTCACTCGCTGTTCAAGTGTTACCGGTACGAATTCAAATCACAAAAACTTTGGGAAGAAATTAAACACGTCTTAGAGAACTTTGCTAAACCTCTCACAGATTTGTTTGTGGTAAGTATTTTTTTCTTTTATATAAGTATTCTTCGGTAGTAATAAGAAAATAGCTAATATCGATAAAATGGTTTTATAATGGTCTTTAGAACCACTGGTCGGATTTCCAAAATTATTTCACTTATTGATAGCTACAATTTTCTTTAGTGCTATAGGCTATAAAACATCACGCTACAATGAAATAGATCCGACCAACGAGTGAAACCGCGCGGGAGTAGCTAGTAAGCTATACTCTACCACATACTTGGCAAGCGTCTGAATATCAAGAAAAACTTTTGAAAGTCTAACTCCCGGTTTCTGAAAGGCTTGTCAACGCTAAAATTAACTAATTTCCTGTTAAATCTCTTGTCAAGTCATCTGATTGGTTGTTGATAATTCATGCCCGGTTCCTATAATTGAGAAACGATCCGTTTTAGTTACGAATAGTAGTTTTATATACAACTTGTAATTTAAAACCGTTCCTATAACAAAACGTCTCGTTGTGCAACTTACTGACGGTTTGCAACTAACGGATATCGGTAAGCGAATTGTATGGAGATCTATGGTGTCTGTGGTTTTCCTATAAATATTTTAACCGTCAGTAGACGGTCAAGATAACTATTCGTAATGTCATTTGGTCGTAATGCGTATACAACGACGATTCGTTAAATATAGGAACCGGGCATAAGTCGACCAATCAGATGACTATAACATTGATCGGCCTTTCGGAAACCAGATGTTAGTATTGTTGTATAAAATTGCATGTATATTTATATCTGCTTCAGGCCACTATAGAGTTGACTACGAAACACGCAGACAATCCACAAGCTTTAAGAGTCATCTATGGATCCTTGGTATTGATATGCAAGGTGTTTTATTCCCTAAATTATCAAGATCTGCCGGAGTTCTTTGAAGACAACATGCCTATTTGGATGCCGAATCTCTTGAACTTATTACAAGTCAAAGTACCCTGCGTGGAGACAAATGTAAGTAGATTTGTTTTTTCTATTCTATACTAATATTATAAAGAGGTAAAATTTGTAAGGGGTAATCCTTGGAACCGCTGGACGGATTTCCAAAATTATTTCACTGATAGATAGCTACAATGTTCCTGAGTGCTGAGGCTATAAAACATCGCGCTACAATCTGTAGGAGCCGAGCAGCGGGTGAAACCGCACGAGAGTAGCTAGTATTGTATAGAAATATATATATATATTGAAAGATGAAGCGTTTATTTAGCGCAACACAAGACAAAGCAAAACGCAATATATATGTATAAACAAAACATAATAAAAAAGAGAAAAAACATGTAAACAACACAAGCTAGAATCACACAGATAAAATATGTCGCGGCGAACGATCTCGCGCTACCTGACAGTATCATGAGAGAACATTTTTTCTTTTCTAAAGTTATTGCTCTAGATGCATAGATTTTATCTTAAGCAGGGATGTTAGGGAGCTTCATAACCAAAACTATCGGATATCCGATATAAAAAAAATATCCGTAACCGATAATATCGGATAGGGGCGGAGCCTACATGAGAGACGTATGTTTGTATTTTACTTTTGAAATTCCTTAAAATTTTAATATCCGTTACCGAAATTATCCGAAATAATTTAATATCCGTATACGAAATTTCATATCTGTAACATCCCTTATCTTAAACACTAACAGCCGGTTTCCGAAAGGCCGATCAATGTTAAAATCAATTTAATCTCTTGTCAAGTCATCTGATTAGTAGACTGAATTATCAACAACCAATCAGATGACTTGACAAGAGATTTAACAGGAGATTAGGTAATTTTAGCGTTGACAAGCCTTTCAGAAACCGGTTGTAACTAGTTTCAGCCAGTAAGTAGTACTAGGATAAAAAGCCTATGTGTTATCTAGAGTGACAATAATATAAAAACTGCTTTTCTCTTTAAAATTGGGAGATTGTCATATAATTTTTATTTGCAGGACGATGATGAGACTCCGGGGGTGATGGAGCAGCTTCGTACTGAGATATGTGAGTGCGCTGCGCTGTATGCACTGAAGTATGAAGAAGAATTTGCCCCCCACGCGCCGGCCTTCGTCACTTGTGTTTGGACTGTACTGCTGGCGACAGGACCCCAAGCAAAGTATGATGCGGTCAGTACCAAATTAATAATATTATCAGTCAGTCATCAAGGCATTATGACAAATTATGTATCACTAGTTTCCGCCCGCGGCTTCGCCCGCGTGGTATGTTGATAAAAATTAGCCTATGTCCTATTACGGAGTGTATCCTATGCCTGTGCCAAATTTCATCCAGATCCGTCTAACCGTTTTTGCGTGATTGAGTCACAAGAGATTTAATTTACGTATTATTAAAAAAATATTGATTTGGAATTATACAAAAAAAAATATATTTCCATACTAATAAAGAGGTAAAGTGTAAATTAGTATGTAGGGGGTAATATTTGGACCGCTGAACGGATTTTCAAATTTCTTTCACTGGTAGAGAGCTACAATTTTCCTAAATGCTTTAGGCTATAAAACATCATCCTACGATCAGTAGGAGCCAGGTGAAACGCGCGGCAGCAGTTCGTATATATAATATTTTACTCGTATAAATAATCTACAACCTTAGGTAACTTAAATTTCTCGTCGAAAAACCTTACCTTACCTTTAACCTTTTAACAGGAATAAACCTTTTTTTGAATGAATTCGTTAAGTTATCATAGAGTAGTTTTACAAATACGTAACTGATTTGGTGTATAGTATATAAAGGTAGCCATTTATGATATGTTTCTTAGGCAACCCAAACAGACCTATAATCCTGTCTTAAGATGGATAAGCTTGGGGATTAATTGCTAATCCTCTGTAAAGATGAAGATTATATCCGATCTAATGATATTTTGATATTTGTTTCAGCTCGTCTCGAACGCCCTAACTTTCCTCGCGAAAATTGCAGAGAAAAACAATTACAAGAGTCTATTTGAAGATCCAGCGACGTTGAGCAGTATATGCGAGAAAGTTGTCATACCGAATATGGAGTTCAGAGGTAAGTGACGGCTGAGCTCGGTCCAGAGAAGGAGAAGGGCTGGGGAAGTTTTAGTCAGTAAGAGTCTGACACTGACCCTGGGCGGGAGAGGTCATTTGATGATTTTCTGTAGACAAAAAGAGTTAAGTGCCGGCTCAGGGTTATGGGGTAAGCGCAGAAAGGTACCGTGGCCTCGACCTGGAGCAGAGAGAAGGAACCTTCTCTTGAGGCGGGAGAATAATAATAGGATCTGTAAAGCTTGAAATGAAATGAAATCGTTTATTCGTAAACATAGGTTATATAAATTTGTTTGAATGATTGACATACAGTGCAGTACAGCGAGTCCGTCATGTTTTGCCTTGAAGCATACAAATTCATTTTGAAAAAAATATATTTTTAAGTGTGGGAGAGCCATGCTTCGGCACGGATGGGTTGGTTCGACCGAAGCGATACCACGGCCTCACAGAAAACCAGCGTGAAACAACCACAGCGTTGTGTTTCGCCGTGTAAGTGAGGTTACCGGAGGCCCAATCCTCCCCTCCTCCAATCCCTAAATCCCCAAATCCCTAATCCCCAAAAGGTCGACAACGCACCCGTAACTCCTTTGTTGTTGCAGCTGTCCATCGGCGGCGCTGATTGCTTACCATCAGGTAGTCAGTCTGCTCGTTTGCCGACCTATCACATAATGTTTTTTTGGTTTTTCTAGAGTCGGATATGGAACTGTTCGAGGATAACCCGGAGGAGTACGTGCGGCGCGATATCGAGGGCTCGGACGTGGACACGCGGCGCCGCGCCGCCTGCGACCTCGTGCGCTCCCTCGCTCAGCATTTCGAGGACAAAATGATGAACATCTTCGGACAATACGTGCAGGTACGCCATCTTTTCACACCTTTGCTGAAACGAAACTTAGTACTAAGGAACTTCTTTCTCCTAAGGCGGGCAAAGGCTGTACATGCGGCATCTATTTAAAAAAAATCGTTGCCCCACTAAGATTTTCTCCTGTGTCTTGGGTGCGGTTACAAACATACAATGTCACATACTCATGAAAAAAAAAAACAATATTTTTAATAAAATAAAATGTTGAGGCAAGACTGCTAGTCCAAAGCCTAGATAAGTATAAGGGGAATCTTGAAGTAACTTTATCATGTGTCTGTTAGAAATGTCTTTGGGATTTAAGTAGTAGTATTTATTAACATGTGCTATTGGTGAATTTTAACAGTATATTAATTTGCATTGTTCGTTAGTTATAACAAAAATTAAACGCAATTCCAGAATTGTACTGCGCTCGCGTAAATTACTTACCAAATACCTAGTTTCGGAACATGTAGGGTCATTGCCCTCGCCGCTAACAGCTGATATAAAGGCGAAAGCGCGCGCGAAATTTGAACTCACGCGCGCCATTATTTTTGTTATTAGTAGTAATAAAAATAAAACGAATGAGTATAAAAAACAAGTTTCTTTTGGGAAAGTTATCGGTTATCATGAGTACAATGACGTGTTTAAATATTTATTTATTTAATAACATAACATACAATCATTATTACAGGACTTAAAAACCCAATACAACAGCGCATGCCAACACCAAATATTTACAGAATACAATACCAATAATATTGTTCCAATCACTTGTTATATACATTCATTTTTAACTATTCATTTAGTACAATCGTATTTCAGACGGGTACAAATTCAGCCGGGGTTGCGGGGTAAGCGCAATGAGGCACCGCGACCTCGGCACAGAGCAGGAGAAGGAACAGGGGGTTTTTAGTCAGTAAGAGTCTGACACTCCCTCCCGCCCGGCCATGGGCGGGAGAAGCCGTTTGATGATTTTCCCCTCACAAAAAAAAAGACGGGTACAAATAGAGCAACAGGCTTTTCTGAATTCGTTCAGCCCAAAAGCGCTGTAGGATGTTGGTTCTCGCGTTACTGACGCGTGCGCTACGAACGCTCAATGCGACGTCGGAATATGTTAATTTATTTGCTTGAAGGCTGAACGAAATCAGAATATTGATCACCCGGTTTCCGAAAGGCCGATCAATGTTAAAATTAATTGATTCTCTTGTCAAGTCATCTGATTGGTCGACTGAATTATCAACAACCAATCAGATGACTTAACAATAGATTTGACACCTAGTTAGTTGATTTTAACATTGATCGGGCTTTCGGAAACCGGGCAGATATCGGTCACTTATTACAAGTCACCGTAATTATTTGAATTAATTTTGTAGCTGATGTTGGCGAAGTACGGCGAGATGGGCGCGGCGGCGTGGCGCGGCAAGGACGCGGCCATGTACCTGGTGACGTCACTCGCGTCGCGCGGCAGTACTCAGGCGGCCGGCGTCACGAAAGCCTCGCCCCTCGTCGACCTGGCACAGTTCGCGCAGGCGCATGTACTGCCCGAGCTGCAGAGGACTGACTGTGAGTATCATATTTACATTAAGTAGCGACGTCACGTGAACCTAGCAGTAACTGGCCAATATAAGCTGAACCTAATGCTGGGGTTACACTAACGGGAAATGCCAATAATTGGGTAGTTTCCTAGGTCAAAAATAAATTAATTCGACGTTTCAATACAATAAAATATAACTGTTTTGCATTAAGACAAAACAGGTATTATATGGTGAAGAAAACACAGCAATGATATGAAGAAGCAGTCCTTATGATTCTGTGGAAATTCCTTCGAAATTTGAATAAAATATTGAGTTTACCTCCATATTTCTGACACCAGAGGGCGCCAACGATTTTACCGCCATTTTCGTCGTCATTTGTCATTGTAGTCTTCATCATCAGCAAGAACCTTGTCTCATTGCTGTGTTTTCTTCACCATATAATACCTGTTTTGTCTTAATGCAAAACAGTTATATTATATGCCTTCGAAAACACAGCAATGATATGAAGACCTGTTTGATATCTGCTGGTGATCAGAAATATCCACACACACAAGAATGCAATGTGAATGTCATTGACAAATTATATTATGAAATGATAAATATCTTGAAAATAACAATGTTTATTAAAAATCTGTTGTCTGGTCCACTAACACTTCTTTCAGGTTCCCTATCGGCAGTGCAGGCGCTAGAGCGCGAAACCAGAAGCACTGAGTCCAACGGGGTGCTACCACCAAGTATGTTCCTACTGCACTGTTCAAGTGTGCTAGGACCCTGGGTATCATGCTTGGAGGTGGGAATACCCACGCCAGATGGAACATCCATTTTCGACTGAAAGCGTCGCAGAAAAGCGCTGAGCCATCTTTTGAGTTTAGCGTTACATACCTGGGTACTACAGCACTTTCTCTTGTTGCGAAGAGATCGACTTCTGGTATGCCCCACCTTTCGAATATTGCCTCCGTGGCCGGTGGTAAGAGATGCCATTCGGGTACTGACCTTCCCCTTGACAGGCAATCTGCGATGCCGTTCAGGTTTCCTGGTAGGTAAAATGCTGTCATTGTGATGTTGAAACGACAACACACTTCCATTAACCTGGTTGTTAGTCCCAGTAATTTCTGCGACCGCGTCCCGCCCTGATTTCGGATATAGGCTACAAGAGTCCTGTTGTCCGACTGTACTAGAATGTGGGCGTTGGTTAGCAGAGCACCTTGGGAACTGATGACTGCGAAAACTGCGTACATCTCTTTCATGTTGGAGTGCCAGTTTCTTTGATTTATCGACCATCTCCCCGAAAGGTATTGGCTGTTCAAGCTTGCTCCCCAGCCCGCATCCGCTGCGTCTGTGGTTAAGAAATGCGTTATTTCTTTTTTGTGTAATGGGGTTGGACTGCCCTCTATCGCATCCAACCACCATCGCAAATCCTCCCGTACTTTGAAGCAAAGTGGTCTTTTTTGTGTTCTTTGACTGAACTTTTTTAGTAAGACTTGTGCCCTGCGACAATGAAGCCGGCCTTGAGGGATTGCATGGTTGGCAAAATTTAGCATGCCTAGTAAAGTCTGAAGTTCTCTCAACGAGCAACTGTTTCGACTCAATATATTTGTTAGAAAGTTTTTTATACGTATTACTTTCTTGGTCGGCAATGCTATTGTCTGGTTGTGTGTATCCCAGACCAGTCCCAAGTATTCCAGCCTGTGCGTAGGTGTGGTTACGGACTTCTGATAATTTATATGCCAACCTAGAGATTCCAAGATGGTGAGAGTTTCCGCAACCTGAGCCATAAGCTTGGATTTGTCCTGAGATGCCAGGAGAAAATCGTCCAGGTACACCAAAAGGCGTATGCCCCGTTGACGAAGTACTTCGGCCACCCAGTTTGTTACTGCTGCAAACGTGCGGGGTGCTGAAGACAGGCCGAATGGTAGTGCTGTCAGCTGGAGTATTTCTCCATTGTAAACCACCCGTAAAAACCGTCTGTGAGTCTCCGCGACACTCAGATGGAAATAGGCCTGATGAAGATCGATCTTTACTAACCAGTCGTTTGTTTGGAGAAAATTTATTATATCTACCTGTGATATTAGGTAAAAATGTTTTGTCGCTACAAAAGTGTTCAAAGCTTTGAGATCGAATATTGGGCGCAAACCCCCATCCGGTTTCTTTATTAAAAACATCTTTGAAAAGAAACCCGGATCTGAAGCTAAAGGTTTTTCTAAAATTCCTTTGCACTTCAGGTCTTTGACCATCTGTGTCATTTCTGGAGATACTTTGGTGGATAGGCATTCTAAGAACTTTTGAGTTGGGAATTTCAGAGGAGGTTTCTTTCGGAAAGGTAAATGATAATTTGCTATTGATTTCAGAATAAACTGATTTGCCCCTAGCTGAGCCCAATTCCCTATGAAAAACTTTAGGCAACCACCACTGAAATTCTGTTGTGAGTCAATTGTCTTTGTTGGACTTTGAATTTGATGTCTCAAAGGGACGTTGCTGACGAAAGGGCTGAGTCTTTTTAATTGAATTTTTAAATTTCCTATCTATCTTTTTAGATTTATTTTTAAAATTGTCCTTTTTTAGATGATATGTATGATCTCTACGCACTGATACTTTTTTATCTTTTAAATAGGTTGGAGTATTCAACCAAACTTGAGATCCTCCAAGGGACTGAATTATAGGCTGTAAGGCCTCTCTACTGAACAAATACTCAGAACTAGGTGGAACATTTCTTAAAGTAGTTTTAAGATTTTCATTTACAATTTCCTTTAGTATGCGATCACGCCTAACTTCTATACACTCAGAACGCTTTCCACATATAATCTGCATAGTGGTCTCAGAGTTCTTATGGCATGAAGAACCAGGTCCAAATGTAACAGAAAATTTCTCAAATAAAGTGTTTGGATTTAAATTCTGTGGGTTAGCACAAGCCCAGTCGACAATAGACTGTAAACCTGAATGCAATAATTGCCTTTTCTCTAAAACTTTGTTCGACAAACCCGCTAAAAGTTGTTCTGTTGAAGCAAGATAGTCTTTATTACTATTAAAATGACACAACTCATCATTTACACGAAGTCCTGTAAACCCAGGGGTTGCTAAACAGCTCTGCAGGACTCGCTTGTACCTAATACCCTTCCAAGCTTGAGAATCAAACTGTTGTAATTTGTTCAATTCTAAAAATCTATCCATATCACTTGGTGGAATAATCTTTTTATCGTCAATGTCAGTGATCAAAGATCCCCAATCAAGAGACAATGGCTCGGGTTGTGTGGGAAGTGTAATAAATTGCCTTGAAGTATCCTTACTAATGTTTTCACTAATATTCTGTGACATCCCGCTAGTACTAGTACTTGGTATTGGATTTCCAATATTATTCTGGTTACTATTATTGTAATAAACCGGATACTGGCTTAAATAATTTGAAATATAAGACACTTGTGATATTAATGTATCAATACGAGGATCAGTGGGTACAGATTTTGGCTTGTACTTACGGTTTCGCGCCGACGAGCGAGAACGTTTATTGGGCAACGGTGACGCCATGCCCTCCTCAAACTCCGAGGATGAGGAGGAGCTATTGTCTGATGCCCTAGAGCTTGTCGATGATTGTTCTCCATCCGAAGCAACAATATCGGTTCGCTCCGTACTTACCGGTTCCATGATAAAAAACGTACACTCCTGTGTTTTCACCAAATACAACTTACGTTTCGTTCTACTAAAGAACACAGTATTCTAAAGTGCAATACTATACGAACACTCACTAAAACTTAAATAAGTTTAAATGAAATTTATGGAAAATAAAAAATTTGTGTATTTCTTTCGAATCACAAGAATGCAATGACAAATGACGACGAAAATGGCGGTAAAATCGTTGGCGCCCTCTGGTGTCAGAAATATGGAGGTAAACTCAATATTTTATTCAAATTTCGAAGGAATTTCCACAGAATCATAAGGACTGCTTCTTCATATCATTGCTGTGTTTTCGAAGGCATATAATATTAAAAAATAAATATACTTTTAATCGTCGATCGATCGATACACTGATTTCCGAAAGCCTGATCAATGTTAATAACCCTCCTTTTGCTTTGCCGTAGTCGGGTAAAAATAAACTAACTAGGTGTCAAATCTCTTGTCAAGTCATCTGATTGGTTGTTGATAATTCAGTCAACCAATCATATCACTTGACAAGAGATTAAATTGATTTTGGCGTTGGTCGGCCTTTCGAAAATCGGGTGTTAGTTTTAGATATTTTTTAAGAAATTTTCTATTTGACGCAAAAATACTATGACGCCATAACTCAGGTTTTCACACAAATTTCATAGAAAACTATCGTTTTTGACATTTGGATAAAAGTATTGAATTTGACTAGTTGGAAACTACCGTATTATCATAATATAATATGCTATCTATCGGGCTATCCGAGTGATCATTTGTTTTTTTTTAACAACTTGTCTCTGCATTTTTCTCACATTGACTTACTTAAGAAAAATGTATAGTAAATGTTATATTAGTGAAATTGTAAAACAAAATAAATATTATTTTTTTAAAAGAGTAACGATAGAGTTTCTTGCTCGTTCTTCTCCATTTGAATCTACAATTTGAAATGAGCACCTAGCTTCACTGACGAACAGACTGACAGACTACTTTTCTATTTTGACGTTTCAAAAGTTTATTTACGGTTTAGTTGGAATAAATGATTTTAACTTTGACTTCGACTTTTTTAAGTTCTGTATTTGTATTGTTTTTATGTATTTTTTCAGTAATAGTTTTATTCGATTTATATTAGTTGAATTCGAAATACTGTTATTAATACATTGTTATTGTTTTAGTGAACGAGTTGCCCGTCCTTAAGGCGGATGCTCTCAAATATGTGATGACCTTCCGATCACTGCTACCAAAGGAACTCATCACCGCATCTGTACCATTATTGGTAAGTATGATCTTTTTCTTGTTATTTTTTTTCTTTTTCTAACTAAGAGCTCCCCCGTAGACATCCAAATTAGTCAATAAGCAATGATTTAACATCCAAGATATGCTGTTAAAATAATTGTATACTTTGTAGAGTCAAAAAGTTTTTTTTTTATGTAATAAGTCGGCAAACGAGCAGATCAGGTAATCCGTACCTGATGGTAAGCAATCAGCGCCGCCCATGGACGGACACCCGCAACGGAGGAGTTACGAGTGCGTTGCCGACCTTTTAGGGATTAGGGATTTGGAGATTTAGGTCTGGGAAGGGGAAGGATTGGGCCTCCGGTAACCTCACTCACACGGCGAAACACAACACTGTGGTTGTTTCACACCGGTAGTCAGTATTGGGTCTTAAAGCGATAGCTCGACTGCATTCAGTAACATTGTAGCTATCTATCAGTGAAAATATTTTGGATATCCGCCCAGCGGTTCTATAGATTGCAACCTGCATAAAAATTTTGCCCCCTATATAGAAAAAAATTTACTTGTATTTGTTGGATATATAATATACTAGCGACTCGCCCCTAATTTGCATGGGTGAAATTAAATTACTTTACTATTTATATAGGGATAAAAGCCTATGTATATAGGGATATAGAGACAGAGGCGACTTAGTTTTATAATACACTAGCTCTTACCCGCAGCTTCGCTCCCGTCATTTGACTACCTACTCTACTCTACCTACCCTTCTCTACCCTACCCTACTCTACCCTACCCTACTCTACCTACCCTTCTCTACCCTACGCTACTCTACCTACCGACCTGCCCTACACTACCTTCCCTACTCTACCTGCCCTACTCTACCTACCCTTCTCTACCCTACGCTACTCTACCTACCGACCTGCCCTACACTACCTTCCCTACTCTACCTGCCCTACTCTACCTACCCTTCTCTACCCTACGCTACTCTACCTACCGACCTGCCCTACACTACCTACCCTACTCTACCTGCCCTACTCTACCTGCCCTACTCTACCTAGCCTACTCTACCTGCCCTACTCTACCTACCCTTCTCTACCCTACGCTACTCTACCTACCGACCTGCCCTACACTACCTACCCTACTCTACCTGCCCTACTCTACCTGCCCTACTCTACCTGCCCTACTCTACCTAGCCTACTCTACCTGCCCTACTCTACCTACCCTTCTCTACCCTACCCTACTCTACCTACCCTTCTCTACCCTACGCTACTCTACCTACCGACCTGCCCTACACTACCTTCCCTACTCTACCTGCCCTACTCTACCTACCCTTCTCTACCCTACGCTACTCTACCTACCCTTCTCTACCCTACCCTACTCTACCTACCCTTCTCTACCCTACGCTACTCTACCTACCGACCTGCCCTACACTACCTTCCCTACTCTACCTGCCCTACTCTACCTAGCCTACTCTACCTGCCCTACTCTACCTACCCTTCTCTACCCTACGCTACTCTACCTACCGACCTGCCCTACACTACCTACCCTACTCTACCTGCCCTACTCTACCTGCCCTACTCTACCTACCCTACCCTACCTACCCTACTCTACCTGTTCTACTCTACCTGCCCTACTCTACCTGCCCTACTGCACCCGCCCTATTCTACCAACCCTAATGATTACCCTATGTTCTTTTCCCAGTTTTCAGCTACCTCCACCCAATTTTAATAAGCCAATTTTAATTATAAATAGTGTAACCAACACGACTTTCTTTTATGTAAGTATATAAAAAAGTGATTTATTATGTTACTGTTATTTTAGATCGCGCATATAGGCGGGCGGGGTGTGGTTTGTATATACGGGGCTTCTGCGGTGGAGAAACTGATAGCGGGGGGCATGGTATCACGCGCCACGCTGCAGCCCCACGCCGGCCCTCTACTGGGCGCGCTGTTCACGGCGCTGGGACAGGTACACGACCCACAGGATCACAACGATTACGTCATGAAAGGTAGGCTCATTATCTGAACTCCTTTTTGTTCATATTTTTTGTATGTAGTACGCCAAACGAGCAGATGGATTACCTGATGGTAAGCAATCAGCGCCTCCCATGGACACCCGCAACAACAGAGGAGTCATGAGTACGTTGCTAAGAATTGGGGATTTTTAGATTATGGGAGGATTTGGTTTGGATCTCCGGTAACCTGCAACACAACGTGTGTGGTGCGGTTTCGAAAGCTGGCAAATACCAATGTGATTTTTTCCGAGTGATATGTACTTTCTATGATTATTTAGATACCACTGACAGACTGCTAAGGAAAAACATCGTGAGGAAACCTGCACCTATAATTTCTAATTATAAGTTTAAAATCGCCAATCCGCCTTGAGCAAGCGTGGTGATTAATGCTCAAATCTTCTCTGTGTGAGAAGAGGCCTTTGCTCAGCAGTGGGCACTTTAGACTGATGATGGTGATGATGATGAATCTTTTGTTTAAGATTTGACTTACAACTAATATTTTTTTATGATACTTGGCAGCTATACTTCGCACGATGTCGTGTTTACAAGATGGCTGCCTTACGTACTTGGGTGATGCTTTGCCGAAGCTCGCTCATATGTTATCTGTGGTCGCCAAGAACCCTTGCAAGCCACGCTTCAACCACTACCTATTTGAAACACTGTCACTCGCCGTTTCGTAAGTACATATTCTACTTTATTAATAGAAAGAAAAGAAAGAAAGAAAAAGTATTTATTCGCGTCTAGGACGCACAAGACACTGAACAAACAAGTGTATAAACACAAAAACAAAAAAAAAGAACATGGTAATACAATACAAAAAAGAGTAATAGAAGAAAAATATGCGTCACTAGCACGCGAAATGGAGGAACTACTAGGATGGAATGCCTCGCTCAGCATATGCAGCGAGACAGTGTCGCAGCGCTGATTTTCAGCGCTGGCCGACAACTAACATTTGACGGCAATCGGTGTAGAAACTAAAATAAATAATAAATAAAACAAGATATTAAAAAGTGATACATATATATATGGATAATATAGGTACTGCTATAATACAAAATACATATTATGAATGGATAAAAGAAAAAAAATAAAGTATGTATAATTTATCTGATGACAGTGGCAACACTGAACGATTGGAAGCGACGCTCGCGCTTAATCATTCGATCAAAATGTGTATTCCACGGTTCCTTAATTTTTTATGTGGTAGGACGGCCAACGAGCGTACGGATTACCTAACAGTAAGCAATCAGCGCCGCCCTTGACCACCCGCAACGACGGAGACGTTACTAGTCCGTCGCCGACCTTTTGAGGATTTGGAGATTTTGGGATTGGGGAAGGGGAAGGATTGGGCCTTCGGTAACGTCATTCACAAGGCGAAACACAATGCTATGGTTGTTTCAAGCCGGTTTTTTGTGAGGCCGTGGTCACTCCGGACGAGTCGACCCATTCTAGCCTAAGCATGGCTCTCCCATCTCTCCCTTGTAAATTATATTAATAATTTAAAGAGGAAAAATTCATTGTTTGTTTAGGATAAGCTACGAAACTTCTCGATCGGCGATTTTTATACCAATTATTGTACCTATTGTGAGACTTACAGTATGGCCGACGTATCTTGGCGAGTCTGAAGTTAGCCGTTTGTCTGCGCAATGGATCTTTTAGGAACAAAATTGTGTACAGCGCAGCTACTCAGCTAACTTCAGACTCGCCAAGATACAACGGCCGTATAGTATTAAATTATATGTTGAACGACTTTTTCCACTTACCTGTGACATATTGAGAAAACTTGAGTGAAATATCAGGGTAAAAACCCCAAAAATTAAGCAAACACTTTATAATTTTATTGTTTTACTTATACCGAATAACATTATTTTTTCGTAGATTGGTGACGAAATCGAATCCTAGCGCCATAACTGCGTTCGAAGACGCTCTGTTCCCGATATTCCAAGAGATTCTCCAGAACGATGTTCAAGGTAATTCTGACGTATGAGTTTAAGCGTTACCGTCTCAAGTTCGCTAGATGGCGTTAGTGTAACCTAAGGTCCTGTTTGTGCAAAAGAGAATTAGCGTTCTAAGTCATTAGATGAAGGAGTTTTTATTACATAACTACATAGTATAAAACAAACTCGCTATCTATGTCCCTATATTCCTATGTATGCTTAAAATCTTTTAAATATGTTAAATGTTTTTTTAATAGTTAATGGTAGAAGATGAAGGTTTTATGTATAATAAACATCCATTTAATAGTGGAGAAATTTAGTATAAGCATTGCACCCGAAGCCGGGGCGGATCGCTAGTAATTAACGTGTTTGATATATTGTTGCAGCGTGCACAACAATTTGTTAAAATTGGGTATTTTGCTCGGTTAAAAATAAATTATTTTAAGATTTTAATACAATTAAATAATAAAAAAATAATTGTACTTCATTGGTGGATTTGACGATATACTTAATTTTACATTTTTATATACTGTTTGATCCAAAATTAACGTCACATTTCTGTTTTCCATACCGAATTCATAGAACAGTTTCGTTTTTGAAATTTAAATAAAAGTATTGAATTTGACTAGTTGTCGAATACGTTATTCTCGCGTGATGTCAGGCAGTCTTCGGTCACTGTGGATATCGGTGCGATTCAGCGATTATCTGGTGATTATTAAATATTATCTTGACAGTTTTGTTTTATTTTATTAAACTAGCGACCCGCCCCGGGTTCGCAAGGGTGCAATGCTTACCGACCCCCGGCCGGCCACGGGTCGGTACCGCCTCAACAACTAAGTCCCTGCTTTTTAAAATTGTAATATCCTTGGAAATATTCACTTAAATTATATGCTGTAAGAAGCATATTATAATAAATGCTCAATTTATTAGAAAGAAAGAAAGAAAGAAAGAAAGAAAAATAATTTATTCGTAATTAGGCATGGCCCTCAAAATATACATACACAAAAGAACAATGTAAAAATAAAATAAAATAAAAAACAATATAAACATCAAATAACAAAACAAACATCTTTTGAGTAATAAAAAGTAAAAAAAACAATATAAACAAATAAAAGAGTAACAGGGGCGCATCATGCCCAATACGAAAGGGCCTGCCAACTCAGTTTAAGCTGGGCACAGTAATATTAAAGGTATTATTATCAGGATTCATGCTGTATTGTTTAAAATCACTTCGTAAATAACATTTTTTTAGGTTGGTTACGGTGGGTTATCCCTAAGAGATAGACATATACCATCGCGGACGTTTTTGTTGAACTTTTTATGGTGGACAATACTGTAGTACATTATTTTAGTCTATCTCGTAGGCCTCAGCCAGCGTTATCGCAATAGGAGCGCAAAAAAAGTGCTTATTTACGACATGACAAATCTCTAAATTTATCAATCTATCTAATCTATAAACTAAACAAAAACCGCATCAAAATCCGTTGCGTAGTTTTAAAGATGTAAGCATACATAGGGGCAGACAGACGGTGGATAGCGACTTTGTTTTATACTATGTAGTGATTTGTGTTTGTGTCGTTTGTTGCAGAGTTCATGCCGTACGTGTTCCAGATGTTGTCGCTAATGCTGGAGTTGCGCGGCGGGGGCGCGGGCGGGGGCGCGGGGGGCGAGGCGTACGGCGCCCTGCTGCCCTGCGTGGTGGCGCCCGCGCTATGGGAGCGCCCCGCCAACGTGCGCCCCCTCGTACGTCTGCTCTGCGCCTTCGTCGCGCATCGCACGCAGCTCGTACTCGATTCCGGACGACTCGTAAGTCTTGCTTCACCATTTTCGACCGGAGTCATCAGTCGGTCGCGATAAAACGAAAGCGTTGTTTCGTCTGTGAATGAGATTTCCGAAAACCCGATCTCTTCCCATCTCGGGAATCTTTCCCCCGATCCCCAATTCGTACGTCGTGATGTGCATGTGAAATTGTATGTTTGTCAACGTACCCACGACACAGGAGAAAACATCATAGTGTGAAATATATATTTAAATATCTATCGTGACACAAATTTATTGCAAAAAATATGGTTTATGTGAATCAGCTGAAATCCAGTCGCCACGGGACATTATAAATGTGACAGATAAAAACTGATAGAGCTTTTTGTCTATTCTAATTTTGTTTGTCGTTATTTACAGAATGCCATCCTAGGAGTGTTCCAGAAACTGATCGCTTCAAAAACAAACGATCACGAAGGATTCTATCTCATGCAGACTATGCTATACAAGTTTGGGAAGTAAGTTCTTGTATTTTTATTACAATGTGGCAATTAACTTGGCCCCTATCCTTTGAAACAAATTTACATTATTATTTTGGCTGCAACGTGTCGCGGGTTAGATTCCCGCACGGAAAGTCACTTTGTTTGATTTACAAATTGTTGTTCTTGGGTCTGGGTGTATTTGTATATGAATTTGTTAGTTTGTAATCGCACCCACGACTCAGGGGAAAAATCCAAGTGTGGGGCAACGTTTAAAAACAAAACAATACTAGTTATATTCAGTAATTGTAATGAATAAAAACGAGACTTGTATGATTTTTATATGAGATCGCAAAATATGACGTCGTAAGACTTTTACGTCAAACAGCAAACTTATTTTTAAATAGATCTAAAAATGAAAGTACGCATGATTATATTTTAACATTTAATTGTATTGAAAAGACAAAATAATTTATTTTTGTTCTCGGAATCTATTCAATTATTATTGAAAATCTGGTGGCATTATCCTTTCGAGTATAATGGTTAAGAAAATCATTTCTTTTTTGTTTTCTCTAGCGACGTCATGGGTCAGTACTCGAAGCAAATAATAACGCTGCTCTTCCAACGACTGTCTTCATCGAAAACCACGAAGTATGTGCGTGGTCTCATCGCATTCTTCGGCTTTTATATAGTACACTTCGGCGCAGACACCTTGATAGACCTCGTTGAATCCGTACAGGCCGGGTAAGAATTTTTATTAAATTAAAATTTACAATTTTCTCTACGTATAAACCTTTTCTGGACTTCCACGAATAACTTAAGACAATAAAATCAGTCAAATCGGTAAAGGCATTGTTGAATTATAACCTTAAAACTAAAAGTGGCATTGAAATTTACCTCTTAATAATATTAGTATAGATCATTTAACTGTAGATCATATTTTTTTTGGTTTTGGTTCGGTATTGTTGTTGATTTTTCCTTCTCGAACTAAGATGTGTAATATTTGTCACATTACTCTCGAGCAAATTGGGTTTATAACTAGTCTATACTAATATTATAAAAGAGGTAAAATTTTTCTGTTTGTATGTAGGGGATAATCTTTGGAACCGCTGGTCGTATGGCCAAAACTCTTTCACTGATAGATAGTTACTGTTAGTGAGTGCTATAGGTTATAAAACATTGCGCTACGATCAAATGTAGCCGAGCGGGTGACACCGCGCGAGCAGTTGGCAACTGGGTGCTATGCAACGTGTCGCGGGTTCGATTCCCGAACGGAACGACACTTTGTGTAATTCACAAATTGTTGTTTCGGGTCTGGGTGTGTTGTGTATGTGAATTTGTATGTTTTCAGACGCACGCACGACACAGGAGAAAATCCTAGTGTGGGGCAATGTTTTTTTAAAAAAACAAAAGAGAAGCTAGTTAATATTTTGGTTGGATGGATAGCAATAAATAATAAATGCAGTTTCTGCGGCAATTTGCCATGTACTAATGGTGACAAAAATGCATGGAGAGCTTAAGGTTGACTATTGACTGATAGGTTTTGCATAACGCTACCATTGATAACTAGATGGCGCTGCTTTTAAATGAAAATCACCGTGCAAAGCTTGAATAGTTTACACTACAGAGGCACACAATAAGCCCATAATGTCAATTAAAAGAAATAAATAAAAAAATATTTAAGTCTGAATTGTATAAGCTGTTAAATAAATGTAACTTCTATAGTTTAAAACAATTCATGGAGTATAAGTTTTAATATGTTATGGTTATTATTAAGTTACTTATATAAATTTACTTAATTTTTAAATTTTGCATGCTTTTTTAGTGAAACACGATTGTACTTTTCATTATTATGTATAACACCACTTCTATACCGTGTTTTATGCAAATAAATTATATACTTACTTACTTAATGTATTATAACATGTTGCAGCATGTTCGGTATGTACGTGGAGCGCGTGTTGGTGGTGGACCTGCAGCGCGTGGGCGGCGCCCTGGAGCGTCGCGCCGCCGCCGCCGGCTGCGTGCGACTGCTGGCGCACTGCCCGCGCATGCTCAGCGGGGACCTCGCGCCGCTCTGGCCCCGTCTGCTGCAGGTAAACTATGCCCGGCTCATTGCATACTTCCCGTTACAATTTAAGTGTGGGAGAGCCGGAGAACGAATGGGTCGGCTCGACCGGAGTGATACCACGGCCTCACAGAAAACCGTCGTGAAACAACCACAGCGTTGTGTTTCGCCGTGTGAGTGAGGTTACCGGACCAACCATCCCCTCCCCCAATCCCTCCTCAATCCCTAAATCTCCAAATCCCTAAAAGGTCGGCAACGCACTCGTAACTCCTCCGTTGCGGGTGTCCATGGGCGGCGCTGATTGCTTACCATCAGATTATCCGTCTGCTCGTTTGCCGACCTATTACATAAAAAAATCACAATAATACATTCTCCATGCTATTCTCCTAGTTGTACAGTCCCTTTTGGGTCCTTAAGGGTCAAGTCATTCTGTCTCCTGCATTTAATTTACCGAAAGAAGTTCAAAATATTTAGTTTTTTCTTCTCCTCAAATAATATCTTCTGATTTATTTCGTTACAAAATCCAAGACAGTCATTCATGCCCATATGTTCTTTTGAATTATGAATTTACATGATAGTGCCTCACAAAAAACATATATTTGAATAATTTCAGGCTCTGATATCACTGTTCGAGCTGCCGACGGACGAGTCGACGCTACCCGACGACCATTTCATCGAAGTGGACGACACGCCCGGGTACCAGGCGCAGTACGCGCAGCTTGTATGCGCCAAAGGAGCCGCCGGGGACCCACTCGCTGGTACATACATCTATCTAGCCCTTACCTCGTCCACAATAGTCCTTACCTAGACCACTGTCACCGCTGGACCACATAATATCATCACCACCATCATAAAATTACCCATGGCTGAACTAAGGCCTCTTCTCACACGGAGAAAGTCTGAGCATTAATCACTTCGCTTTCTCAATTCAACTTCAACGGACTTATAATTTAATATTATTCATCAAGATGTTTCCTTCAACATGTTACTGTAGTGTCTAAACGATCACAGAAAGTACATAAAACTCAGAAAACCTCACATTGGTACTTGCCAGGTTTCGTGCAAGATAAGTGGTTGCCTTAACTCGGATCACATGTTCCCTAAAGCGTTTATTTTAATCCAACCATACGTAAGCACTTTTGTACTGTCCATGAGTGGCCAGCGTTCCAAAATGTAAATTTATATAGAGAAGAACGAACAAGAAACTGCACCACACTTGGTTGGGGATGGCAACTAAAAAATTAGTTTATATATGTTTTTGTTTCAGGTATCGAAGACCCGGTGGCGTTTTTAGCGACATCGTTGGGATCACTGGCGAGTCGTGCTCCGGGCGTTTTGCCTCAACGCCTGGCTGCCTTAGACGAGCCGCATCGACAGGCATTACAGCATTATCTCAACACATACAGTGTACAAATTTGCTGAAACAATATTCTAACTCGTCTACACTGAGATGTATTAATCACTCGTAAAATAATAAAAAATGTGATGTTCAATAGCCTACACCTTCCTCGATACGTATACTATACAACGCTAAAAGACTTGTTCTATTCGAACCAGTAGTTTCGGAGACCAGCGCGTACGAACAAACTCTTCAGCTTTATAATATTAGTATAGATGAATGGCCTGACCCGGCTTCGCCCGGCTGCTAATTCCCAATGCTCCTAATATCATTCGTCAAAATAGTACAGTCATTACGTGTCGTTTGATTGCTTTCCCATTGAAAATTTGATTATCTTGTTGAGTGATAAATAATTTCAGTTTGGACAGGTTTTTTATATATTTAATTAAAATCAAGAATTAATGATTGATGTTATATGTGAACTAAGACTGGTGATTATAATGTAAGTAGATGTTTGATAGTTGATCGTAGCGATTGTAATGAGTTGTATTCGTAACGAAAGTGAAAGTGAGTGATAGAAGACATGGCGTTATGGTATCACGGAGGGCTGATTTTTCTCCCCCTCTCTCCTTAAGACCGACAGCAAACATGTAACTTGCCTCGTGTTGTAGGTCACATCACAAAATGAGTGGTCAAAATCATATACGAATATCGTCTTAAAAGTAGTGTAAATATGGAACTGTTTTATTTATCAATAAAAATTGCTATATTGTTTTTATCTGATTTGTTAGAATTTGCTTGAATAAATGAACTCTTGTGCTTATAAATATTAGAATTGTTTTTGCATAATCTCGATTTCGGTAGAGACTAAAATTGAATCTTAACTTGCTTTATGAATAATGGTCGAATATTATTTTTCCATATCTAAAATGTCCGGGAACATAAAATACCATAAATAAAGAATAGGTTGTATGTCGCTCCTTTGTATACGTGTCACCGATTGTATTGAAAGAAGTGAATGAAATAATGAATGCGTATTATGGTACGGCTGTCGTATCTTGGCGAGTCTGAAGTTAGCCGATTAGCTGCGCAGTACAGAATTTTGTTCCTAAAAGATCCATTGCGCAGACAAACGGCTAACTTCAGACTCGCCAAGATACGTCGGCCGTATTGTACATAAATGAATACATAATATTAACTCTTACTTATTCCATATGGTGTTTTTTAATAATGTATTCCGTTAGAGATAATTTTGATATTCGCCGTAAATAATAGTCCAGTAATTAATTTTTAACTTCAATATTAATAATTCATATTTCTAATAATATTATAATACTATGTTGCTAACGTATTTGTGTTATTTTAACTTGGCAGTTATTTAATAAACAGATGGAAATTACGATATTAAATATTTTCGGACAGAACTATTCCCTAATAAGGATCTTCTTGCTAAAGATTGGGTTAAGTAACCGTCAAATAATCCAGTAAACCAACTCTGAGTGCGGCGAGTATTTATTAGATCCAATTTAAATAAGTATAATTTACTGTAAAATGCAAAATATATAATTTTTTATTGTCTGAATTAAAATAATATCCCATTATAATAACTACAACAATACCAATAGTTGGTCATTTCGCTAACATTTGTCATTTTCGTAATTCGAATACAGATCATGGCGTAAAACATCCACATAATGACCTCACACCGGTGTCACGACGTCCACTGCTGAACATAAGCCTTCTAAATAAGTCAGTTGAAAATGATCTCCGACCTTTATCGAGTCAGTCCACATTGCTCCTGAAGAGATAGTTTACCAAAATTCCTATTTCCATCCGCCCCTCTCCATCCCCTAAAGTCTGGTATTACGGTAGTTTAGCCAACTAGTCAAATTCAATACTTTACTATGGAATGTGTTTGAAAAACTGAGTTATGAGTCATCGCTTTTTTGCGCCAATAGTTTAAATTTTTCTTAAAAATTAGCTAAAAATGTCTAAAATTCTGTGGATTGGTCGATCGATGATTAAAAGTATTTTTTAATATTTTATTGTATTGAAACGTCGCATTAATTTATTTTTGACCTAGGAAACTACCCAATTTACTTGTCTATCTCGGGTGTCCATGGGCGACGCCGATTCCTTGCTATCGGATTTGTCTTCTCGTTTACCGCCGTACTTCACAAGAAACTAATACTAATGTATTTATGGTAACGTCTAACGAATATTTGTAAGTAGATGTATGAATGTGTTTGAATATTGTGATTGTTATGTACTTTGATGTAAGATGGCGCTGAGCGCTAGTTTGTTGAAGCAGTGATAACTTAATGTATAATATAGTTTTGTACTGTTATAGTAAAGCTGTAGTGTTTGTATAATAAATGCTTCTTGTAAATTGTTGTTTTTCTTGGTAAAATTTTCATTTAATCTGATAACTCCCTAAGCGGACGTCATATCCTCTGACGCATCGCCCCGTCATGTTTTGATTACTTGGATTTGCTCCTGTATCGTGGGCGCATTTACAGACAAAGTAAAAAATCGAATCCAAACACATTGACATATTCTAACTATTATTAGGGTGCAGTATTGAGGCGGAGCGGAGTGGAGAATAGCTGTGCCGCGATTCACCAATCACATTGCTTGAAATCCACATCTCTTCTCCGATGTGGCATGTGTGTGGACTTTTAACTTGAATGAGTAGCGATTTTTATATTGGCTCAATGAACAGTACAGCGCGCGTGTCCTCTGCTGTGTCCGAAGATGGAGCGGGCCACTGCTACTGGCATTTCTCCTTGTAGACGTGGCGCCCTCCGTGCGAGCTTGGCGTGCCAGCAATGAATCGTACCTTGTGAGCGTGAACAGTCTGTTCCCGGTCCCGGCAGGCAACTGGTATCTTCTACTACTTTAGTAGACTAGTTTAGTTTCTACAATCTAGATTAGGCAAGGTAACTCGTGTGCTTGAAGTGAGCCGACCGCGAAGACGCGAGCAGCCCGAACTTTACAAGCGTTAATGGTATTTTAAGTTTGAGCTTTTATTAATTCATCAAATCCGAGGCGAACGCCGGCAACCCGCTATTTCGTTCACCTATTATTCTTCTATTGTGTCTCGAATTACAACGATTGTAAGAAAAGTTCAAATTTATTTCACGCTGAGTGCTTTGCAGAAACCGCGAGCTGAAGCTAGAGTATCACAAAGTATGTTTAAAATAAAACACAAAATGTACATTCCACAAAATTTTATTTAAAAAGCAAATTGCCACAAATATGTTTGCGAAACCCATTCTATTAGGTGAAATCAATGATCACAATTACACATGTCGGTAACTAGTACAGCGAAATACATTTCGAATAACTATACGACTACAAAATATGCAAAACACCGTCAATTTATTTACATAATAAAAAAAAAATACGCAATTCTATAAAATATTAGAATAGTAGCAAGTAAGCGAAAACAATATTTATTTTTTAAACATTAACAACGAAATTCGCCTCGAAAGCGACACCACAATATTTTAGACATTATATAAATACAAATATAAATTTAAATTCATAACGATCACAATAAATGAAAAAAACGTTACAATTTATACAAATCAAAATTTTAAATGACCCCAGAGTTTTTGAATTTAACGAATGGTTAAATAGATACTGAAATGCAAAAATTTTCTACATTTTACGATTTCAACACTAATACACACACACAAACTGTATAAGTTGGGATAAGACAAACCAGAGGTTCTTATCGAGCGATGCTGGCAGACAAGAAGTATTCAAAGAAGTATATACTTTAGCACAAATACATAGAACAGTTATTGCTTTGGAGAATACTGGCGCCGCCGCTGTATAAGAGCCTGTGGCTTGCCTTGTTTCATATTGTAATTGTAATGAGGCCGTGTACGTCTTGCTTATGTAGAAACTACATAATTGTCTTCTGTTATAACTATTAACAAGAAAAGAAAGAATCGATGTTTAGTTGCGTATAATATTTGCTATCTGTTTCGGGATAGAGTGTGGGGCGCGTGTGTGTGTGGGAGGTTCGTGCGAGGGTCCGAGCGTCACTTGAGTGCGCACTCGACGAAGACGGCGCGGCACGGGGACGCGGCGCGGCTGGGCGGCCGGCCCGACCCCGGCCGGGGCGGCGCCGGCGGGAACTCCACCGCGCGACCCGCCGCGAACTGGGACGCGCTCAGCGGACGCAACTCCTTCAGAATGCACCTGTACATATTATACATTTTTATAAAATTACATCAAATATTAACATTGTATCATTTGTTTGTTTTAATTTAATTTTTTTTTAAATGTTATGACCTACAACGCAATGAGAAAATGCGAGCAAAATAACAAGTCGGAAATACAATCAAGAAATAAAATAAAATATCATGTGCTTTTTAAAGTAAGTGAACTGTATATAACTTACGCAAGTCTAGCATCGACGACGGGGCGTACGGTGGGTACGGGGAACCCGTTGAAGGGAGAGGCGACGGGCAGAGTGTAGGCGCCCATGTCGCGGAATATGAGCCAGTCTCCGATGGCGAGGCGAGGCAGGCGCGTGGCGGGGAGCACGCAGTCCAGCCCGTCACACGTCGGGCCCCACACCGAGCACGGGGCCGGGGCCGACCCGTTGTCCTGCGATACAAATTTACGTTATGACAAACATACAACACACTGACAATCTCATTACTTCTTAAGGTTTGTACAATTGACCTCATTCATAGTTACTTTATTTTATATAATTATTAAAAATAATGTTTACATGCTTTTAACTGATTCAGCATCACTAAACCTCTCAGGTTTGTGTATTCACTAATGTACTCGTCTTACACAATAATCTATATTATAAATGCGAAAGTAACTCTGTCTGTCTGTTTGTCTTTTCTTCACGCCTAAACTACTGAACCGATTTCTGTGAAATTTGCTACAGATACAATTTGAAACTCGAGAAAGGACATAGGATAGTTTTACATTTACATTACACAATTTTATTACAAAACAATCAATCAATCAACATTTTTTAAGTATTTAATAAGCTATAGCCTATTTGCCTTTTTTACAACCCAACTGGCTGGCAAATTTCAGTGTTGTAAGCGAAACGTGGGGTGGGTTTCACATCATTATTCGCCTATAAGTGCCCACTGTCAAGCAAAGGCCTCTTCTCACACGGAGAAGAATTAATAACCACGCTAGTTCAAGGCGGATTGGCGATTTCAAACTTATAAATCCAGGTTTCCTCACGATGCAAAGGAGGAGGCGGAGCGGCAAAGGAGGAGGCGGAGCGCGTGAGGGAACTATCCTCCTCGCGCCCTAGCCGCCGCAGAAGGCGACATTCCGGACGTCGGGGATCGAGAGATGATCTCCGGCCACCGTAAGCGCGGGTCTGTGGGACGGCGAGTAAGGGTAGCTCGCCGCCCGACCAGAACCGGACCCGAGCGTACGGCGCGTAGCGTTCCGCGCGCGCCTCAAAGAGCCAATAGACCACCACAGTCGGGGCCCTAAAGGGCTGATGTTTAGCCGGGGCTGCGGGGTAAGCGCAATGAGGCACCGCGACCTTGGCCCAGAGCAGGAGAAGGAACGGGGGGGTTTTTAGTCAGTAAGAGTCTGACACTCTCTCTCGCCTTACCCTGGGCGGGAGAAGTCATTGGATGATTTTCCCCTGACAAAAAAAAAAAAAAGGTTTCCTCACGATGTTTACCTTCACCGTATGTCAGTGGTGTCTTGATCATCATAGAAAAAAAAAACTCATAAAAAGTCACATTGGTACTTGCTAGGTTTGGGACTCGCACCTTCATAATCGAGAAGGCGTTAACCTTCGGGCAATCACGACATTTTTGGGGTGGATTTAAAAACATACTGGATGCCGCCCGCATCTTCGCCCGCGTAGCCTATGTCCTATTCCGGAGTGGCTGTGTCAAATTTCATCCAGATAACAATCACCCTAACATCGTAACTTTCGCATTTATAATATTAAGTAAGAAGTAAGACGGACGGATAACATACGCTTACAATGCGAAATAAGAATGTGCTTACATTGAGTGGCTCAGCAACGACATGTTGGTGGTCGTACAGTACGCAGTTGAAGGAGCCGTACACTCCGTCGTTGATGAAGTACATCGTGTGGGTCTCCGACTCCGCGCTGTCCTTGGCGGCCACCTGGGAACAGATACCATACTTTAATATTATACTAGCGACCCGACCCCGCATTCGTAGGTGCGATGCTTATACTAACTAGCTACTCTCATTCGGTTTCACCCCTTGCTCAGCTCCTAAAGATCATAGCGTGATGTTTTATAGCCTGTAGCCTTCCTCGAATAGACTATATCCAACGCAAAAATAGTTGTTCAATATATACAGAAAACCGGCGTGAAACAACCACAGCATTGTGTTTCGCCGTGTGAGTGAGGTAACCGGAAGCCCAATCCTTCCGCTCGCCCAATCCATCCCCAATCCCTAAATTTACAAATGTGTAATCCCCAAAAGGTCGGCAACGCACTCGTAACTCCTTTGTTGCATCATGGGCGGCGCTTAGCTTACCATCAGGTAATCCATATGCTAGTTTGCCGACCTATTACATAAAAAAATGTGAGCTATGTGTGAGCATTATAAGATATAAGGTAATGTGATGTACCTCTCGCTTGGCATGCACCATGGCGGCGAGCGTGTAGGCGGCGGCGGCGAAGTACCGGCCCGGCTCCGCCACGACCCGCACCGAGCGCTCCGGGAAGTGCTCCTCCAAAGCGCCGTTTATCACTTCAGCCACCTGGAACAATACAAACATTCATTTTAAATACAAAATTAGCTTGGATGTACGTGTTGGAATAACAAATGTAGGAGAGCCCATACTTCGGCGCGAATGGGTCGGCTCGACCGGATTGATACCAGGACCTCACAGACACTTGCCGTTAAACAACCGCAGCGTAGTGTTTCGCCGTGTGAGGGAGGTTACTGGAGGCCCAAACCTCCCCTCTCCCAATCCTAAAATCTCCAAATCCCTTTCCTTATGAGGTAAGCACCACCTGTGCTTATACCTTGTCACATATTACATGGTATAAATAATATAACTAATTAGGTGGCTACTCGAGTCTCCTTTGTGCATTTTAAATATATTACGACCAATAATAACAATAAACAGATAAACAGTAGCAGCGCGACAGTCGCCGCGTCGCGTCGCCGAATGCTGCTCATGAATATGGGCCTCTAGCATGGCTTGAAACTAGTCGAGTATCTCGTCAAATTATTACGTGAGTAAGCCGAAACATAATATATAATTTAGAATGTCTCACGAAAGTTATAATAAAAATAATAACGATACTTTCCCATGCTTGAGAGTGGGACACGCCGGTGTCTTTTTGGCTACAACTATTATTTCGCAAGCTACTTTATTTTGGAAATCCGTCCAGCGGTTCCAAAGATTACCCCCCACACAAAAACTGTCTTACCTCTTTATAATATTAGTATTTATGTAGATATTGCAAATAATATGCAAATTCTTACCTCCTGGATAGAGGAGTCGGTCCCACCGGGGAAACCTCCTCCGATGTCGAGTAGGCGCATAGCCTTGTGTCCGACATTGTGCCCGACCAGGAACAGAGCCCGGGACAGTGCGATGGCTCGCGCGTACACATCTGTCTCCGAAGCACCGCTACCCACGTGGAATGACACGCCGATCACCTGTATTTAAAATATATAATATAATAATATAACCTCTGAGTTTGTTTCGGCATTTCTTCTCAGAGTAGTCAGATAGGAAATGTCGGCTTCATCTAGTTTTTCATGTATAATTTTGACGTGTAAAAGTGGCGTTTAAGACGTTGCGCAAAAATAAATGTTTTTCTTTCTTTCTTTCATTGCCATTATATTGTACGATCGCTCCCGATTAGGACGCTGCCAAGAAGCGAGGACGGGTACTCACGTCTAGTCCGAAGACTGCGGCCAGTTTGAGGAGTCGCGGGGCTTCAGTCACTGGGTCACAGCCAAACTTGATGCCCAGCGGACATTGAGCCGACGCAGCGTCGCAGCGGATACGAATCACGAGCCTAGAGGAAAACAATATTTATAAATATCTATGCGTAATTTAGGAAAATGTGCTTTATAATCTTAGATATAGAGTGTAGAATAGATTAACTTTGTCTAGTCTAGAACCACGAGCCTAGAGGAAAACAATATTTTATAAATGTGTCATTTTGAAAAATGTGCTTTATAATCTTATATACAGGGTGTAGAATTAACTATCGAGTTTTTCTTTAGTCTAGTAACTTTTGTTTTAGAAAAAATCACGTTGCCCAACACTAGGATTTTTTTCTGTGTCGTAGTTGCGTTTACAAACATACAATTTCACATACACATCACACCCAGACCCGGACCAACAATTTGTGGATCACACAAAGAGTTGTTCCGTGCGGGAATCGAAACTGCGACACATTGTGCGGTAGGTAGTTGCCGAGCCACCGCAACAACCGTGCAGTTAAATGCTAGCTAGCTATTTCTTTATAAAATAGTTCTAAGATGTAAAAAAGCACGAGCTAAGATCGAAAATTAGTATACATCTGTATGATAGATCTGAGATATGTATCAAAAGTCAGCACCATCGACACTTCGAAAATAGTCTATATTTTCAAACACAATAAGATCGAAATTTGCGCAAACATCGCTGACCTTTGGTAGCCAAACAAAAAAAAAAGAAAAATTTGAATAAAATTTGTCGATTGTACCTACAGACACATACTAGCTTAATCAATCAACATTTACATTGGATTTTAAACTTTATATCGAAGACAGTTGTATTGAAAATCGAATAAATTAATGCGAAACTGCTAAATAAGAAGCGCTTAATTAGTTAAATACTGACTGTGCGTGCGGCATGTATTGCTTGATCTTCATTAGTTCGGTCTCAGAATCAAAAGTCATCACGTCGACGCCAACAGCCGACGCGTAACGGATATGAGACGCCATTTTGGCCGGGTTCGCGAATATAATGCGCCTGAAACAAATATCACATTATTATTAATTAAAATTAAATTTGAGAGAGTCATGCTTCGGCACGAATGGGTCAGTTCGACCGGAGTGATAACACGGCCTTACAGAAAATTGGATTGAAACAACTACAGCGTTGTGTTTCACCGTGTGAGTGAGGTTACCGGAGGTCCAACCCTCCTTTAACGCAATCCCAAAATCTCCAAATCCCTAATAGTAAATTTCTCGATATCGACTGTATAAAAATATCCTTTGCATTCCCTTATGGGGAATTCCCTGTGCTTACACCTTACCTACTAGCATGGCCATGTTGTAGCGTCTATTTTCTGTTTCATCTGTTTTAATCTTTAACTCATGTTTATCGTTACTTCTACTGTCACACTTTTATTGTCTTTTTATACATATGCTGCATCGTGCCTGGTGCTGAATAAATGTCTTTTCTTTCTCCTATGCCTGTGCCAAATTTCATCCAGATCCATCCAGCTGTTTTGCGTGATTGAGCAACAAACATCCAAACATCGTAATAATAAGATTGATTTGCATATTTCAGTCGAGCTATCGCTTTAAACATTGCTGGTTTTAAAATCCCGCTATACATGACATTAATAAGCGTGCGATGCCGCGGGCTAATAATAAATAAAAAGGTACTTACTCAGGTGCTACTCCAATGGAGGTGACAAGTTCAATCTCGGCTTTGGACGCGCAGTCGAATCCAGTGCCGAGAGCCGCCAACGTGCTCACTAGGAGTTTGTCGTCGTTGCATTTCACCGCTAAAAGAAAAAAATAACTCTTAGCTACTTCGGTTCCCAGCCGGGGTTGCGGAGCAAGCGCAATGGCACTGCGGCCTCGACCTAAAGCTGGAGAAGGAACGGGGTGCTTTAGTCAGTAAGAGTCTGACACTACCTTCCGCCCCACCGGGAGAGGTCATTTGATGATTTTCCCCTCACAAAAGAAGGGACTTCGGTTCCGATATCCCTGTTGTTTTTCTAAAGTCGAGACTCAATTACCTAAACGAGTCTTTATTTACTCGAAACAAGTGTTTCAATGAATCTGGACATCTGTCGAATTCATTTGTTTTTCGAATATTGTCAAATCGACAGTTTTCAATGAATTTTCGACGAAACTTCGTATTTTATTTGCATAATAAAATTACGATCACGTACCTATATCGTTTGATCAATGAATGAGTTTATAATCGTAATAATTTACTTTCATAAAATGTCCAATAAATGTATGTACTTTTGTCCAAAGTAAGCAAAAAGAGAAAAAGTTACAAAAATATGAGTCTGGTCTTCCTTACCATAGAACGGCTCAACGCGCGGCATTAGTTCCTTCCAGCGGTGGTATCTGGCCACCACCTCGCCAAGATCCATCACGTAGAAAGGATCCTCCTGGGTGCCAGACTCCACGATCTCACGGATCAGGTCGGTCGGGGACCAAGGCCCGTCCATCACAGTAATAAGCTGTTCTTCTTCCACGACCTTCATTTTGGCTGGGATTTTGAGCCGTATGAGGTTAACTTTAAGGTTGACTTTGGAGCCGACTTAGCCCCGGCAGTGCCGGAGCGTGGGGTCGGCTATGCTTTGGTTGCCTTTCCGGGCCGGAGGGGTCGGTGTCAGGTGTTCGAGCCGGGTTGTGGAGGCCCACTAGCGCTAGTCCACAAGTGTCAGCTGCAACAATACACATACATTCAGATACTGCCGGCAACAAGGCAACTGTAATTTAGTAAAAGCTAGACGGAAACAGGTAGAGAAGGTTCTTAGACAATATCAGGAGTATTAAAAATTAGTGGTCAAATCAAGACAATTTTAGTTAGAAGTTGTAGGCAGTCGTGAAATACTTAGGTACAGAGTTAAGATTATCAACATCAACACCACGTGAGAGTTCACAACTGGAAAATTTTTGAGTAGGTAATATCGTTTTCCGTATGTTATAGATACTCACGTAATGTGTAGGTGGCGTCAGCGGTCCCGGGCTCGCAGCCAGGGCGGGTCGACGTTGAGGGCACGGCGCCAGCAGCGCGGCGCGGGGCGCGGGCGCGCGGCCTCCTGCGGCCTGCTTAGCCGCTTACGCCCGGCACTGGTAGACGCGCCGGACTCGCCCGGTGCTCCCTGCAACAACACAAACCAATTATAAAATATGTGTCATTGAACTAGCTTATTATATCATACGTGATCTCCAGGATGATAAGATAGCCTGATTCATAAATTACAAAATGATGTAGATACCTAGTAGATATAAAATACCTACTATTGTACCTAATTACCTATAAATAATGTTTCTTTAGGATATATAGATCCTGATAGGGCTCACTAGGTATATCTATAAAGAAGTAAAATTTGTAAGTTTTTATGTAGAGGGTAATCTTTGGAACAGCTGGTCGGATTTCCAAATTCTTTCACTGATAGATAGCCAGAATGTTCCTGAGTGCTATAGGATAAGAAATCACGCTACGATTAAATGGAGCCAAGCAGCGGGTGAAACCGCGCGAGAGTAGCTAGTATCATGATATATACCTAGCTTTAAGCCCTTAATCATTATGGTATGCAAATAAAATATTAGGTAAGTACTATTACTATATTTTTTTCTGATTGTTTGGTCAATCAAAAGCGCCTCAATGTAAAATAAAACTTGCACTCAGCTCTCTATTACGTCGTGGATCCTAATTGAGAAATAGCATATTATAACTTCCCTTTTTTTAAAAAAAAAACATGCATCAAATATATTATGTTTATATTAAGTCAAACAAACCTATGGAGTTAAATTTAATATTAAAAACCTCTTCTATTTTTATTCTACACGGAACATGTAGAGGATGGAATAAGTTAGATTACATAATAACATTTTAATCAAACGCAAATGTGATAATGTTGCCAGAACAAGTTTATTTTATGGCAACATCAGACGATCAGAATGATATACAACCTTATCGGAATAAGATTCATAGTAGCGATTTACGACGCAGAATTTAATCGACAAAAAAAATATACCTTAAGCTTTTATGAAAAAAAACATTAAGTATATAGGTATATAATACGCATATACAATATAACAGATCGCGTAACTCGATAAACAGTAATACCTAGTCAATACAAATAACTATAATAATCCCAGCTGATAACGCATTTTTATATTGATTTTATTACCTCTACACAATCATTCCGTTTACCTAAACAACTTCAAAAGCTCTTTACTAGCACTTATCTCCACGCTCGCGTCAATGACCATCACAGTTTACTTCTTCAGACTCCAAGCGATCGCCGGCTTTCGCGCACCTATTGTGTCACGAATTACCACGATTGTAAAGTTAAGAGGTCCAGGTTTATCGGGAAGCTGCTATTTATGTCATATTTGTAATCGTCATCGGCTCGTGAACACCCGCGGTCAGGAATAATGAAATTATTCTCTATTCTGAGGAGCCATAACCTCCGGGTCACGACGACATCATGCTTTTCATGCTCGATACCTGGCAATTGCCAATGTGTCTTTATCCGAGTCATTATGTACTTTCTATGATTATTTAGACACCACTGACATACGGCGAAGGAAAACATCGGAAAACATCACGATGAAACCTGGACTTATAAATTCCTAATTATAAGGTTGGATTCGCTAATCCGCCATAAGTAAGCGTGATGACTAATGCTCAAACCTTGTACCTTTGGTTACCAGCGGGCACTTATAGGCTTTTTTTTAATGGGACAATCCCGCCGCAGCCTTCCAAAACCGCTGCAACTCCTATAAGCCAGGATCTACAGTAGATACAACCATGAAAACACCGAAACACTGAAGTCGGCGCGTCTAAGTGACATGAATGACGGTCTTGGATCCCGCAACGAAATAAATCAGAAGATATTAGTTAAGAAGAAGAAAAAACTAAATAGTTTCCTAATCCCCCAGTAAATTGAATGCAGGAGACAGAATGACTTAGGCCTTTAAGGCACAGAAGAGACTGTACAACTGGGAGAACTGACTGTTATTGTAATGGGACCTATGTATGAGCTGCTGTAGTTGTTTCCGGTAATAGGTATGACAAAAACGCCTAAACGCACGGAAATTTGTTGTACATTCCACAGGGTACGTATAGTAAACTACGCCTGATAAGACATTTAGATTATCTAACATAATGTTACGGACGTATTACCAGAGACTACACTTACACTATTACTTATAGCAAGCGCGGATCCAGCCTTCAAAAAAGGTTGTGGTCACAGCTACTAGAAAAACGGCTAAGTACGAGTCGGAGCATGGACATGCTCATTAACAACCATCCAAATCATTTATGAATTTATGAATTAGATTTCCTTTTTTCTGAGCATCAGGACTTTGGCCTTAGGAATGTAAATAAACTTAGGAAGAAGTCGGACACGATTTCTTCTAATTTCTTATAGTCAGTTTCGGTCCAAACCTATTTCAATCACAAGTGTATTAAAGGTTGTGGGCATGCCCATCGTGCCCACAACGGTGGATCCGCCCTTGACTTATAAGCTGATGATGATGATTCTATTTTGCCTTCACACGCACACCGCTTCCTTATCACCAATAATTACGTGTACTGACATTAAAATACCTATTCCTGTTTAAAATTAACAACGTTTTAAAATGGTATATGAAACTCTTCCGTCTCGTGGTTTGGACTGAGATGAACCTTGAAAAGAGTCATTTGATAAAAATGATAACATTTAAACTGGTGATGGCGATAAGGCGGCCGACGACAGTTATCAGCTGGCTGATTTTATTTGCGAACGATGACATAAGCTGAGCGAAATAGAATTTACAGAATGTGTAGATTTGTTATTTTTTGAGTGGGAAAATACTTTTTTTTTAAGTACCTAACACATAAAACGAGCAGACAGGATTACCTGATGCATCGATTGGAAGCAAACCGCAAAAATTAAGGAGTTACCGTCCTTCTAGTGATTAGGGTTTTGGAGATTTAGGGATTCGGGGAGCGGAAGGTTGGGGCCTCCGGTAACCTCGCTCACACGGCGAAACACAACGCTGTTTCACGCACAACTAATACTCAATTCGTAGCCAAATAGAAATTTCTAGATACATTTTTATAGTATTAGATTAATTATGGATTTCCATACTAGTAGGCAGTAACATCTGATTGTATTTTGTACATATTTTACTAGTCCAAATTTTAGCTCATTTTCGATTTATTTTGTGCTGAAATAGCTGTTTGTAAATAGCATTGCCATAATATATTTGAGATAGACACAATAATCATTTGTAATATAATCAGATTATTCCTACATACTGGATTAATACAAACTTTGAATATAAAAAAAAAGTCAAATATATTTTGAGAATCAGACCTACCTTCTTTGTTAATTAACAAGATTCCTTTAGTCAAAGATTGTTCTATTTTCAAATTTCTATGGTAAGGGACTACAAATTTGACCTTTTAAATTGCGATCACTAATTCTGTCAATTAAGCGTATTTTGTCGTATATATCCTCTCTTATGTAGAGGGGCGCTAAGGCCACACATAAGTAAACTGTTATTACAAATAAAAATACATAATCAAAAGAGTAGAATTAAAAATATCTGCAGGAAAACTGAAGCAGAAAAGTTATAAATATATTTCCTAATAAAGAGGTTGTTTTTTCAAAATGTTTCAATGGTTTCAAAGTTTTCAATGATAAAGGAAAACGTTTTGCATTATAAATACTTCGTTGAACGTAACATGTTATTATTGGAGGACAACTCGAGTAAGGGTTGTCACGTTAGAATATTCAGAAATACGAAGTGTTGCTATTTTATGACGAAAAATAATTACCTAGTTTTAATCCAACATAACTGGATACATAAGTTTTTAAGAGCGATTATCGATTCCAACCGGCCTATCTGGAAGTCAATGGGGGAGGCCTATGTTCAGCAGTGGACGTCCTGTGGCTGATATGATGATGATGAGGATGAAGAGCGATTAATATAACTGATGCCAAAATACACCCAACATTTTTATTGTGACTTTAAAAAGATAAATGTTAACCTAGTCGGCCATTTATTTTACCCAACCTATCGCACTCAAAACCGTGTTTGGTACACGGTTTTGAGTGCGATAGGTTGGGTAAAGAATTATTAAGTTTTCGACGTTTTACGACTTCGATATTCTGTTGTCAGCTTTGACAAAATTTTAATTGCAAGAACAAACATTGATCATAAAATTCTAGATCTGATTAACAGGATTTGCACGGCCCGGAGCAGGAGAAAGACCGGGACAGTTTTTAGTCAATGAGAGTCTGAGACCTACCAGACTTTACACTCCCAAAACAATATTTGGTCGATATTGACTACAATTTTATATCTTAGATTATCAGACCATGGTGTCAATACAACATTTTTATTAAATTTTTGTGTACACTATAATTCAGACAAGAAGAATAATTCAAGATTTTCTTAAGCTTAAAAATCAATAGAAAAGCGAGGACAACCCTATCGATGACAATATTGAATGCATAAGTCAATTGTATTGGAAAGCCGTTGTTTCATAATTACAGTTTATGATACATAATTTGCGAGGGCTCCGACGTACCTAAGCATTTTCAATGAAACCTTTATGCACTATTCACAATAATTCCTACTTAAAAAGCAAGTAGTTGTACATAATTATATGAAGTTATACGCAATTGTTTTTATTGACATGTTGCTCAAACTCGTTAAAATTTGTAATTTCATGGCTTAGGCGCTTATTTTAGTGGCTAAAAAAAGATCAATACATAGTAAAAACCTAAAATTTTGATAGATATAATATATATATTTATATTTAATATATTTCACTTTTGTGTGCGTGCGCGCGTCCTTTTAGGGTTTGATGAATTAATGTTGGTTACATAGAATCTAATAACCCTCCACCAACAGATATTATAGAGTTGATAGTCCTGTAAAAATAGGCTAATACCTATACTTCTTTTTAGGCTGAATGAATAAATTCTTTGAAAGTGGTAATAGAAAAAAAATAGTATAGTTAAACTGGGTGCAAGAAAAAGAAATGCTGGAATTCTTCTTAATATTTCTTCCTACTGGTTTCTACCCCTGTACATAGATAGATACAATAGGAATTACGTTTAGTTAAATCCTAATTTGCCTTAAAATATTTTCATACAAAAATCATCACAATTACCTTCTTTAATATTGCTAAACGACGATTCTACAATCAATCGGCGATAAGTTGCGTGCAAAAGTACTATTGATACCTAATTATCGAAAGATTGATAATAATAAATTTCCTACCTACATACCATACGCTTACTATCAATAATCAATAGTAATCTAATAATAAAATTAGGTATCGTAAAATTATCAAAAGACTTCCACACAGCGACAGATTAAAAATAATAATCTACAAACTTCCTGCAACTAAATGTAATAAAAAAAATATGCTTTATACCTAAATGCTAGCCAAATAAATTATTTTTAATCTGTATGTAATTGATGACAGATATCGAACTAGCTTTGACAAGACTACGTCACAGAACACACCTTTCAGACATTTGTGAACACGTTGACGTGGAAATAAATGTACCTACATGTAAATAGGTATTTATTTTAAGTTCAATGAACACTAAAACATTAAAATAGTGATACAAAAGGCGGACTTTACACTGTAATTATGAAAATCTCTGCTTTAGGGTTTTAAGTAGGAAAACCTTTAAAAATGTTCCTCTGGTATTAAAGCTAATTGCCAATTAGTCAAATTCTATAATTTTTCTACGAGTCTTGTGCGAATTGACACGTCGTACGCCATAAAATTGTGAATTATTAGCAAAAATACGAATGTCTTAATTAATATTATAAAGCTGTAAATTCTTTAAAAAATTTCCGACGCCCACCACGTGGATTTTCTCGTATTAGATATACACTCGCCTAAAAATACGGTATAGTTACAAGATATATTTAATATCAACAATTCATTAATTTCCCCAATAAAATTGCCATCATATTGAACGTACGTTAATTGAGGGAAAATTTTATTAGCATACCACAACGTCCGCGCGTAATGGAATTATCTTTTACCACATAGCATTGACCTTGCGCACGCGCCGATTCAACATGGCGCCGCGTCGTGACGTAACGAGTTCACAATAAATATGTCTGTCACGAATAAATCGAAGTGAAAATTTCGTACATACGGCTAGAATAAATTGATCTTTGGATATGTGGAAATATTTTACAGATCGAGCTCACGATAAATTGGTTTCGTATATCTGTCTCTCTTTGTGTTTGCTTATTTATTTAATGGTATGTCGATAAAAATGGTTTGATTTGTATAGTTATAATAAAAATGAGACTGTTAAGCATGAGATACTTTTATTCCGTGTATGGAAATAATTGTTCCGTTTTACGAGTATCTCGTGGTTTCAGCGGTAATAAGCTTGATAGCCAGGTTTTGAGTTTTATTTTGGACAGCAAAAAATATTGTATTCTTTTCAGTTGGATTTATTAAAACTGAAAGAGAATTATACGAATCTCCTATCATCTACCACACATTGCTGTAAAGTATCTATACCATACGGTCGTATAATCCACAAATAATAAATGGCAAAATGTGTTGCTAGGCGCAAGTCTCCAGAGCAGCTGAATCGATTCCGCTGGTTCTTTCTTGTTGAAGGCTAATTTTTAGAAAAGTTAGGAGGAAATATCGGGAAATAGCAACCATTTCGATTTACAAATAAAACAAATAAATAAGATCAAGGTAATTGAACAGCCAGGCGAAGCAGGAATGGAACACCAGCAATATAAAACAACTATGGTTTTTAGTGATCGCCATTCTTATTGACGTTAATAATACACAATTTAGAGACATAATTCCTTTTTATATAAAACCTATTCAACAACTCGTAGAATAATAAACCACCAATTTTCACTCAAAAAAAAAAACAAATAAATATATAACTTAATTATTGCGATCGTCATTTGTTTTATCGTCATTATTTATACGAGTATGCTGAGATATTTTTTGTTCTAGAAAAATTCCGATGTTTCGTTATTTAAAAGTTAATTATATTAATCACTTTCAGGGGCCTGCTTCGCCACCTTTATTTCTGTAAGTACCTACCTGATAAAGTTATACGGCAGATAGTTCATAGTTTCATACAATTATTTGAGTGCCATTTTTTTAAATCGTAGGTACGTACATAATATTTTTAGGAGCAATATGCCATAAAGGTTTATCGGGTACATATGAAGTTAGTGTAATAGGCTCTTGTAAAACTTGAGTATCTACATAATACAGTTTCAATCCCATAAAAAAAAATAAGAAAAATATTAAACCTTTTTTAACTAGTGTTCGCTAATTCGAACTGGCCAGAAATGTGGCCTTCTATTTAAAGAGAAGGCACAAGTGAAATTCAGAATAGATTTTGACTTTTTTAACTAGAAACTAAAAGAGATAGAAGATTTATTAGTTTTGAACAGAGGCATACAGCTACTTTGTTTAATATTAAATATACACAAATCAAATACACGTTTAAATTTTAAAAATTAGAAGCCAGATATCTTTCATACATTACATTAATATGAATTAAAATTTAGAACACATAACATTTTTATCTAAAGATGAATACCTCAAAAAAAGACGTTAATATTAAACTCCCACATTTCAATCACAGTTCATATAAATATTGTTAAGACAATCTTGTACTATCGTAGTAATACTACGTCTTTAAAAATACGATGATAAATTAATAATTTCCACAAAAACTCACCTTTAATAGCGTAATTCTCAAAGCTTTCTTTCCACTTTCAAGCAACAACCTGAGGTTGTTGCTAAAATAACAAAAAAATAAAACTCAAAAAACGAACACGTTGCAAGAGCAACCGTTGTGAATATTTTTGTTTGATTTTCGAACGAAAATTCAACTGTCAGTCACTGTAGCGCGATGGCGGCAAACTAATAAAATATGGCGGACGGTCACGTATTTATGCGGCTCGTTATCAGGATTCGTGGGATGGCCCAGTTATCACGAGCGATTGTACTACAGGCTGATATAATAATTGTAGGTAAAACATCGGGGTACACTGCCGCGAACCGCTTCGTCGATGACGTTACGACGAACACGAGTGTAAGATGTGACTTGCGCTCTTCCTACCGGTGCCGCGCGGCGCCTATCAAAACTTGTGATTGTTTTCTAGCTAATCACGCAGCATTCAGTTGACTCAGAGTTAACTACAACAAGAAACTGTATATGTATTTTAGCATTTAATTCAACTGATGTTGGTAAAATGTAAGTAAACGAATCATATTATTTATTGTGGCACAGATGGGCAATTTTATAAAAGTTTGTCAGTTGCGCAAAAATAGTAAAAAAAAAAAATATCATTATATTGGGTTTTATTTAATTTAAATCGATTTCAGAACATCTAAATTATGTGGAAATAACAAAGAACGAGTGAAAACTGGGTTAAATACCGAGAAAATTACTGTTAAATATCAAGTTACGTATAATCTTCTTCCACTGCGTTACATATTACTTATTTTTATTTAGAGGCCAAGTAAAAGATAGAAAATATGAAAAATAGTTTTTTTATTAGAAAATTAAACGCTTTTTCAAAAAATCTTCTGAAAATGTATGTAAGAATTAAATAACGTAACAAAATCAATACTTTGTATCCTCTTAGTTACAATAAGATAAATTGTACACAATATCTTTCCGTATATTTGGCAATTATGAGATCAAATAGGAAACTTATACTACTTATGTTATAATAGCATAATGTACTTTTAATCTAAACAAAATGTTGAGATCTTCCTCATTTAATAACAAAAATAATAACCAAAATTAATTACCACAACAGGTGGACCGTCACACAGTGGATCGGTATGGAAAATGTAAGGCTTAGTTTACATCAACTACTTAGAAGAATAAAAAAGAAATTAAATAGGTACTTAATGTTATAAAAATAAGCTAATTGAAAAATAATAATACTATAACGATTCTACAGTTGAACGTTTTTGGGTATACTCGTAGAGTTCTTTTATTTAACTGTCGCATGGTACTTTATCTAGTATTATTTTTAAAACATTAATTTAACAACATATAATTTGGTGGAAAATTTAAAAGAAGCCGTAAGACCTGACTGACATTAATGATTTTAATTCTCTTTTTAAATTTACTTTCCTTGTTTATTCGAACATAATCGCACGTTCACGGCCAAATATTCCATCTCGTCAGTTCTTCTGTTACCTATGGTGATTGAACAGCTAAACGAGACAGAGCACCTAGTCGCAAACACACGACCCTGGCGAATAGACCTATTCGACACAAGCCTTTAAAGTGTTAAAACGTTTTACTTATCCACCCAAACAAATATCGCAAATAAAATCGTTATAAGAATCTTTTGGTATTTGGCAATCATTGCAAGAGAGACATACAAATTTTTTACATGCCATACATTTTTGCATTAATTGCAATGGCTTTCTTATTTCACATTGTGGGCATTCAGCATGACGGCTGACGACATTTCGAATGGACTTATTATATGAATGATTTTCTTTACTCCTTTTAGGTATCTTTTTTGGTTGTATATCACAGTTTTCTTCTTTAGTGTAATACCGTTTCTTACTTATTTTATTATATTGTTCATTATGTAATTTATGGCTAATAAGTTTATTCTCTTCAGATTTTAACCCTGTTTCATTAAATATTTCAAAATTAGAAAGGTCTTCAATATTATTTAAATTAAATAATAAATCATCATCTAAAGGAATTATTATAGAATCAAATACCGCATTAATAGTCTCTTCTAATTTGTCTTGTTCCTTATCTTTACAGCCAACTGTCACTCCATCATTCACTTCTTCTAATCTGTTTTTTTTCTTCCTCTTTTGTTTTAAATGTCGCATCATTGATTTCTTCGACTCTTTCTTGTTCTTCTTTATACTTTCCCTCATCTCTTTCTATGTCTAGTTCTATAATGTCTTCATTTTGTTCAAAATATTTTTGTGTGGAAGAACAAGTTGCTATTTTGGTTTTCTGAGAAATTGGCACCTCATGAATTTCGGCTGTTACTGTAACTTTATTAGATGGATTAGAGCGATTTAATTCAGTTTTCTTTGTTGACTTTCCATACGTGTGGGTATTTAAACCAAAGCAATCGCACAACCCTCTCTTCAAGCCGCAAAAACAAGATAGCGATCGATACTGAATAATGCCAGGTGAATTAGCAATGATTTGGTGAATCTGCATGGTGCCTGTTAAAGGTGTCAAATCGCTCGGAACCAATTTCGCTACATTTTCTATGTCACTGTTGATGACATAAAGACATTTGACCGATTTCATAGAATTTGATAAGAGCTCAACAGCTTGCTCACCATTGGAGATATCTTTGCCGTACGCAACCTGTTTGTCTAAGGACCTCTTCACTGCGCCACCTATGCCGTCTGCTACTGACTTTCCGTGGCCGCTTTCAGTAAACGACCAGGTTGAGTATTCGAGACCCAATTTGAATGTAAAAAAATTATGTAAAAAAAAGTTCTTCTTTTGACGATATTGCGTGCAGGGGCCATCAGAGTAGAAATGTATAACCTTAAGCAAAGGATTTTTATGTTTGGCTATCTTTATTATTGGTATCAAGTGTGCCCATATGGCTGCTGGATCATGACTGTTATTATCGGAAATTGTGGTAAAAGATTGTGATCCTCCTGCCCAATAAATCATCCCTGTATGTAGGGTAAATTGTTGCTTTGATGCACCGAAGTGCATTGATTGTACTTCTTCGGCAAGTTTGCTGCAGTAATTTTCTGAAAAGTCACATAGTATAACTGCTTCATTTTCTTTAAGTTCTGTTATGCATTTTCTGTATTGATTTTGTTGATGTTTCCAATTGTAATAATGTTTTTTGAAATTAGGTATTATGTTTTCAAAACTCTGCATTAATGTTTCTATGTTTCCAGTTTTTCTAACTTTCGCCATTCGCTTCGTTTTTACTGTTTTATTCCCTTTTTTACTGTCCTTGTATTCATGTTTAACATTTTCCCACTGTTCCCATTCTGTCTTTTCATTTATTTGTTTGTCCTTTAACTCGTATTCCAATTTATGTTCTCTACATTGCTCACATTCTCCATACATACATTTTTTTGATTTAATATCACATGTTAATTGACTGAAAATATTTTCTACTGTTTTATATTTTGGCAGCACTCCAATTTTTTGCAGTAAAGAAAAGATTTTTTCGAAATTGCTATGTTTAATACATAGGCAAGTATCTCTGTTTTGTACAGTAGGCGATAGGACAAAAAAAGGTCGATATTTATAAAATGTGGCAAACGATTTTGTTCCACCTTCCGTTCGATAAATCTTATAAATATTAAATAACGTATCTGTAAGATATCTTATTTGCTCCTTTTGTTTTTTAAACGTGCGGCATTCTTTTTTTCCTGATGTACTTTTACTTATGTCATCTCTCATGTAAAAGCTTTGTATTTCTTTGCAGGTCTCATTTTCTTTGGGTGTCTGCCATTTACTTCGTGCTATTCCTTTAAGACCTATTAATTTAGATACGAAAGTTTTCATTTTTAATTTTTTTGTAGATTTATTTACAGCTAAATTTTTGAATATATTTTTTTCTTTATATATTTTGCATTTTTTATAGGAAGCTTTTAAACAACTCTCCAAAATTTCATCTCTAGCTGTCATTTTGTTAATAGTTTCTTTTAGAGTTTGAATCTTGTGATCAGTTGCCTTTTTATAACGATAGAACCTCTTTTTAGAGGAGTTAAGCGCTGTTTTTAAATTCTTGATCCTTTTTATTGCGGCATTATATCTTCGCATCAATGTAATTCTTTTCGACGTTCTGTCCCGTTTAGGTCTCAAATTCTTATCTTCATTCTTTGGATTTTTATTTTCCTTCTGTTTCCGTTTCTGTTCTCTCCATTTCTTTCGCTTTTTTTCTTTCTCATCTTCGGTTAGCTCAGATATTTTCTTACTTTTTTTTTTTACTCTTTCTGCATGTTTTTTCTTCACCTCTTCGTATTTTTGTGGATTTTGTTTCAACTTTTCCCTATATTTTTTCATGCGTTCTGCAGCGGTAAGCGCCATTTTGACACCTAATAAAAACAGTAAAAAAAATATTATGTAATACCTAATACAGAGAATACTCAAGATGACGCCTTGATTCATCAACGACCACTCCAAAGCCTTGGACTTAGAACGCTGGGATTTGGTGCCTTATATGATGTAGGTATACAAAGAATAAGAAAGGATTTTCCAAAATTCTCTTCCTAAAGGGATGAAACAGGGATCCAAAGATTGTATGGAGAAACTACTTTCACTCGGTAATGCTGGTAGCAGAAAGTAGTTACAACTTATATTCGTGTAATTGACAACATTTCAAGGCCCTTTAGGTTCATAACGTCAACTCCCCAAAACGTCCACTCTCCCAAAACGTCCACTTCCCAAAACGTCCACTTCCCAAAATGATAATTCCCTAAATGTCTATATCCCATTTCGTCCACTTTCCCAAAACGACCACAAATGTATAATTCCCAAAAAGTCCACTTCCCATAACGTCCACTTCCAAAAATGGTAATTCCCTAAATGTCTAATTGAGTTGACGTTATGAACCTAAAGGTTCAAGGCAACCACTTCCATAACTAAAAAAAAAAAACAAACAAACCAAATTAACTAAATCTCTCAAATTGAATTTAAAAAAAAAATCTAAGCAGTCAAAGAAATATTTCTAAGATTTGAAATTAAATAATTTTGCAAGTCAGGTAAAAGCTTACAAAAAATGCAGAGTAAAATTACGTTTTACGTAATAAAATAAATACAATCCAAATTGAGAACCTCCTGCTTTTTAAGTCGGTTAAAATAACCATGTACACGAGGTTTTATGTTCCACTGAGTTACGAAAATCCATCCGCTGAGAAAATGTTTCTCAGCTGACG